AACCCATGTGGGAACTCTCTTATATTTCAGAAGAACATGAGAATGAGTTGGCTGATTGCCTAAAATGTATGGCACGATGCAAAGATTTTTGAAAATTTAAAGTGTTAATCGTTCTTCTTGCTTTTAAATAAATCATTTTATTAGCTGCTTAAACATATCTTTTTGGTTTATTTGTTTGATCTTGATGTCTTATTTGTTAATTACCATTATATAATTATTTTTAAACAGCCCCTTTACAATAAAAACTGGTGATCAGTAATTACCCCAGAAATGATCAAGACCAGGGATAATTCCTGATCACTAAAAATTTAAAATCTTTTAAATTCTAATTAGATTTTCAAACAAAAGAAGGTGGCATTGGACTCATCTCATATAGCCTCAAACTTCCAGTAAATATTAAAATTCTATTCTGAATAGTTTTTTCACAAAATTGATGTTTGCGTTTTTTGATCAGGAATTACCCCAGGTCACCCTATTTAATAATTACTATTTTAATTAAATGATGGAGTCTTGACATAAAAACATAACACTTTAAAAATTCTTTCAATATTAGTGCAGATAGGAGAACAGTTAACTATTTACATTTTGTGCTTGTTATATCTAATGCTTATTATGTGAATATAAAAGCTTTTAGGACTCACATGTTAATAAAACTCATTGTTCACTTATATTATACCTAATTTCATTAAAAAAAAACAAAAGAAGACTCTTAATAACTATGTATCCACTTTTAAAATATTTAGAAGTTAATGAAAAAAAGAATATGAATATATATATATACGTGAATTACTGTTAGCACTGCCTATTACATTTAGAATCCTTGCAAAAAAATGAAATCCACATTACAATATGTATTTACTTGAGTTTATAAAAAAACATTTAAATTAAATAAATCACTATTGAATTTTTATCTTTTCCCAATTTTCTCTGACTATTGAAAAGGCTTTGATGTTCTTAATTCACTTTACTCAATATCGATACATTAGATTTCAATAGCGTTTTTGTTTTTCTTCGCTAAAGTATCAATTCGTGGACAAAAAAATAAATAATAATAACAATTAACAAATAAAAGAAAATTAATGTAATTTTGACTTTATTTTCAAGAAGTATTCCAAAGATATCTGAAATTGTAAGTCTTCTAAAGAATGTAAATTGTTTTGAGAAGTATTCTTCTAAAGATAAATGATCCATGAAAAAAAAAAATTCTCCAACTTAAAGGGTATAACTAGTAGCCATTTGTTTTGTCTCGCTGAAGTATCTATTCGCGCACAAAAAATAAATGATAATAAATAAAGAAAGGAAAATTAATGTAATTTAGACTTTATTTTAAAGATATCTGAAATTGTAAGTCTTCTAAGGATTGTAAATTGTCTTGAGAAGTATTCTAAACATAAATGATCAATTAAAAATAAAAAAAATCACCAACTGAAAGGGTATAACTAGTAGCCATTCCCAGACAATCACCTGCATAATATTTTTAAAATTTTGCAAGTTAAAATTTTATTTGGCACTTTAACGATTCTAAAGATAATGAGGCAGAAATATTGGGGGAGATTTCTGTATCCTGATATGTGGCAGAATAATCGCCAAGTCTTGGCAACTTCCGGGCAGCGGCTCGCGAGAAACAAAAAAAAAATATCACAGAAAGGGATCAACTCGAAAAATATAACTCATAAGCACCCCCGGGCAAACATCTACATGCTGTTGTTTCTTTCAAAATTGCAAGTATTTGGCCCCTTGGCGATTGTAGTTGGCGCAACAGATCACGATATGGAAATATCCCCTTCCAGTTAAATAACCAAATATTTTGTTTTTAAATTTTTGAAAGTAAAAAAATCCTTTGGCTCAATAGTAGGACTGGGCGATATTAGAAATAATATATCGTGATGCATTGTCAGTTTTGCATCGCGATATAGTGATATAATATTTTTGAATTTCATTTACTTGTAAGGCACATAAAGTCAGATTTCTATCAAAACTTCACACTCAGATTGATTTAAATCAATTTATAAATTTGAAGATATATATGTTTTGCTTAAGAGAGATATTAAATAAATTGACTACAATGTACAAATCTTACTTAAAATATTTATTGAAATGTTTGTTCAGAAATTCATAATAAACGTTAAACAAAGTCGTCTAATTTAAAAATAAGTCGAGCACTTTACGGTAGAACAGTTTAACGAGGACCAATACCGCACACCCTCGGTCCCTACGCAGACTGATCCAAGTGGTCAATCACCCGCACACTGACCGCAGCCAGTGATGCTCGACTTCTGTGATCTGAAGGGAACCGTGTCTTAACGATCAGTTCACTGTGGGACTTTATAATTTCAGATAAATAATTAAATTAAATCAAATAATGACCGAATTATGAACGAAAAACAAAGTAGGTAAGATTTAATTTCTTAAAAATAAAAAAATTTTGATATTTGATAATATATTTAGCTAATTAACAAATAATATGAAAAGTATATTGTTAAAAAAAATTATTATACTCTCTAATTAAACGAAGTGCTAAATGATTTAAAAAAATGAATAAATACGCAAACCTCTCAAAAATTTCTGTATAAACAAAGTTGATTGACTTATGTCCAAATCTAAATGACAAATATAAATTTTGTTTTAACTTTATTTCTAAAAATAAAAACAACAAGATTTATAAATTTAAAATCAGTATAAAAACTCATTAAATTATTAGAAGTTTCATCCAAAAAGTTTTTAATAAATTAAAAGAAAGTAAAAAAATAACCTAACAAATTCAATTCCTTATGGGCGCCTAAATTAGATTGCCGATAATTTTCACATTTAAAAATAAAAAGAAGTTTTTAAGAAAAAAAACTTATCTAATTTATGAAGAAACTCTTCTTTAAATATTCTTTTCATTAACAGATTGCCTTCAGAACAAGGTAACATCGACGATCACGGCGTTAGTCCCACTGAAAATAATCTACAAGAAAAGTAGCGACAAAGAAAAAAAAAGCTAAGATGTGCGAAAAGGAACATGCGATATAACGATATGCGTTCTCAAAACTCTGATTCTGATTCTACAGCTCACCAATAAGGGCCAATTCAACATACCAAAACGAACATCGTCTTCTACAGCGCGAGTCGACATCGGAACGTAAGAGAAGAGTCTTATATCGCTATCTTATATCCTTGCGTGTCTTATATCGCTATATCGTTTTGCTCTCATTGTCTTTACTCAACGGCTTAAATCAGATTTCTGATGCATCGCCTTGAATGAAAGTCGCTGTATCGTCTTACCGATATATGTGTTAAATCGATACACCGATTTATAGCCCAGTCCTACTCAATAGTGAAGGTAGCAGTTTGCATCAAAATTTCCCTATCATGATCTGTTACCCCAATTGCAACTGCCAAGACACCAAAGGGATTTTAAACTTGAAAATTAAAAAGAAAATGTGTAGAGGTTTGCTAGAATATGGCTACGATACAAATCCTTTGATTTGGTTACCTTCTGTGAAGTTTCTTGCAGGCCACTGCTCAGAAGTTGCCAAGACATGGCAATTATTCTGCTGCAGTCAAAAATACAGAAATATTTTCTTAGTTGCGAGCAGACATTTGCATCAGCCTCCCTGTAGTGTTTTTTAAAGTTTCTGTCTCGCAATTGGACACAGATATGAAAATTTGCACACCAAATAATTTATTATGTTCACATTAATTTATATTTATTATGCTCACATTAATTACATTAATCTAATTAATGTATTTATTACATACCTACTGTTAAAAGTACAAAAAAAGGAAATATTCCTTTGAACTGGCTTTTGGCTAGAGAGAACAGATGTCCATATAATTAATACCCTTTTTTTAAAGCCACTTGTTAAAAAAATGATCAAAACTATAACACAACCTATGTTGCCGCACGCTGACTGTTGATGTGCGGCCGGCAGGAACTTCTGAACGTAATAAAAAAAAAAAATTTCATTTCGTTTTTGTTCAAACATTATAAATTTTCATTTATTAAAATGTTTAGTTCAAATTTATATTACTCTATAAAATGCGTCTTTTTTTTTTTTTTTTTGCACTTTCATTCTGTAAGCTTCTATTTTATTCGAATTTATATCCTTTCCCAATATAAATGCATAAATAAAATATTTTTGTTAAATTAATTATTGTGAAAAATGGAAAAAGTTTTTTAAAAAAATTATGTTTTTTCAGTTTTAAGGAAATTTAAATAATTGAAAGTACTTGATTTTCTGCAAATATGTTATTAAGTTTTAGTTTTAAATATTTGGTAAAAATATATTTGATAAAAATACTTGGTGTTTAGAACACTAGGATGTTTAGATAAACATTATCATATTTGCCGCTAACTGAACTAAATATGAGTGCGGCTCTTCGTTAATTTACGTGCTGCGCAAGTGGCCCTTCACTCAAAAAAGTTGTGCACCCCTAATCTATAGCTTAACTTTCTAATATGTAGATAAAAAGGCCTATTATCTCCCTATCAATACAAACAAAACCTTTTATTTAAAGAAAAACGGTAAATGGTAATTGTAGGTGAAAAAAGGCAAACATTAAATGTAACTGCTTTTACTATCATCAGTTTTTAAGCTGAAGACAATTAAGACAACTGAAAGTTACTAACATAAGTGATCTACTATGTACTAATCAATTGAGTTGGATAAAAGGGATGGAAGATTGAGTAACATTTATCAGATTATCTATTAAACCTTAAAAGAGAAATTTTGCACATTAAAAATATAAAGTACATAAAACTTACCGCATTTCCATCTAAATTATTTATTGTTATAAAATCATCAGCCATAGCTTTCCAATTTTGTTTATTTAGTGCATTTGACGTAAGTCCTTAGCTGACTATATTTGTAGGATGCGATAATAGGATGGTGCAATAAATGAAAAATATTAAAGGACCGTTCTCCCTACATGCAATTCTTTTTTTCGCATGTGAATCATAGCTTTTTTAATGGGTTTCATTCAATATTTCCTTGTCTTCTGGATTGGGTTCTAAATTACAAGGCGACGGAGTTGAACAATAGTTGTCGTAAATCCAAAAAATTGGTTCGACTCTACAATGACGGTTATAAAAAGAATTTAAAAAAATTGATCATGTCAACGATCTTGACAATGGTAAGTCCCGCAGTAGACTGATCGTTAGGACACGGTTCCCATCAGTTCACCGAAGTCAAGCATCACTGGCTGCGGTCAGTGTGCGGGTGGGTGACCACTTGGATCAGTCTGCGTAGGGACCGAGGGTGTGCGGTATTGGTCCTCGTTAAACTGTGCTACCGTAAAGTGCTCGACTTCGCGCGCAGGTCATCGGGCTACCGAAGCGGGGGTGCCATCCCCTCCGCAGAGGATCAAAATTGTAATGGCATGTCTTCGGATCATCCTCCGGGATGTTTCCCAGACCGTCGCCAATAGCCCATTATGCAGCTCTAGCGCGACGTAAATTAACAACAACAACAACAATGGTAAGTAAACAAACAAAGGCATGGCCGTTTAGAAACCTGGAGCATTTAATAGTGCATGGGGCAGTTTGATTAAAGGAATGAGTGGTGTGGTGCACTGTTGCCTATCCATTTTCACTACTTTTTCCTTAAGTTTGAGTCCTGCAGTGGTAGGGCCCAAGGGTTCACGATATCTGTTCTCGTTAAACTGTTCTACCGTAAAGTGCTCACAGATTGTCGGGCTCACAGCTCTAGTGCGTCTCAAATAAAGTAACTACCTCTCTTTTTGAAAAGAAACAACTCAACTCATTTTTCTATTAAGTAGCTTACAGTAAGCTGTAAGCTAATTTTGCAAATTAAGCATTAAGTCTTAACAATAAGTTACAATAGCTTTGGTACGTCAGTTTTCTTAATATCCGGCAAGAAGCTACTGTTAAATTCAAATATTATTGTTAAAAAGCTTGGCTTAATATTTTAATAAAAATGGAAGAGTGTTGGGATGATGAACTTTATGATCCTTCGGCTCCAACTACTGAATACAATGTTCCAAAATACACTCCACCTGCTAAACGATGGGATGATAATCAGAGTAACACTACTTGGAATCAGAGTAACACTTCTTGGAATCAGAGTAACACTTCTTGGGATCAGAGTAACAACACTTGGGATTCGGAAAATTCCAACCAACGATATGTAAATAATTCTACATATGTTCCCCAAGGAAGACCTAGCTATAATGACCGGCCCCAATTTTCTAACAGGGGTCCTCGTAATTTTCAAAGGGACAATACGAGGGAAGAGCAAGATTGTACTGAAATGGTAATAGATTCTAATAAAGTAGGAAAAGTGATTGGGCGAGGAGGTTCAAAAATACAAGAGCTTCAAACTGAAAGTGGGGCGCGCATAAAAGTCTTGCGCGATGACGGCAACAGCATGGACGGAACTACAGTACGTATAACTGGTTCCCAAGAATCTCGCGATGCAGCCAAAAAACTCATAGAGGACTTGACTACCGATTTCCAAAGATTCTCCACTGACTCATCTGCTCGTTCTGGTGAAAGATCAGCGTACAGCGACTCTTCATACGCTGACTCTGCTCCGAATGGCACAACAACATTTATCGATTGGGATAAAATTGGCCAAGAGTGTGAAGAAGCAAGAAAAAGAAAGCTTGCTTCACTCCCTCCCATTATAAAAATGTTTTACTCGGAAGATCCTAGTGTTACTGCTATGTCCAAAAAGGCTGTTCACGAGTTTAGAATGATGAATAATAATATATCTGTAAATAAAGTTAACGAAGATGATGATAGGCCTACACCTAATCCTGTCACTACATTCAAACATGCTTTTCATCCTTATCCAGAACTTTTGGAGGAACTGCAAAAACAGAATTTTAAAACTCCATCACCTATTCAAAGTCAAGCTTGGCCAATACTGCTTAATGGATACGACATGATAGGAATAGCGCAAACTGGAACTGGTAAAACGATTGCCTTTTTATTTCCAGCTCTGATACACATTGTGGGTCAGGTGACTCCCAGATCTCAACGTGTCGGACCGACCTGTCTCATATTAGCTCCGACGCGCGAACTTGCTCAACAAATTGAATCTGAGGCAAAGAAATATACCTACCACGATATCAAGTGTGTTTGCATTTACGGCGGCGGGAGTCGAAGAAATCAGATCGGCGTGGTAACCAAGGGAGTTGACATTGTGATTGCCACCCCAGGACGACTAAACGATTTGGTAATGAACAAAATTATAGACGTGACAGGTGTGACCTATTTAGTCCTCGACGAAGCCGATCGTATGCTCGACATGGGTTTCGAGCCACAGATTAGAAAAATTGTGATCGACATCCGACCCGATCGGCAGACGGTGATGACAAGTGCTACTTGGACGAGTGAGATTCAGCATTTGGCTGCTCGCTACATGACAAATCCTTTCAAGGTTAATGTTGGAGCATTGGATTTAGCCGCTGTCCATTCTGTTACACAGGAGATTGTTTTTGCGGAAGACGAAGATCGACGGGAAATACTTGAAGAGTTCATAGGAAATATGGGATCTGGTGACAAGGTCATAGTGTTCGTTGAGCGCAAGTGCATCGCTGACGATTTGTCTAGCGATCTATTGTTACGGGGTGTTTCCCTGCAATCTATCCATGGTGATAGGGAGCAGTGTGATCGAGAACAGGCTCTGGACGATTTGAAAACAGGCGCTGTCCGTATATTGATTGCTACAGATGTCGCATCAAGAGGGTTAGATATTAAAGATATAACCCATGTGTTCAATATGTATTTTCCAAGAAACATTGAAGAATATGTTCATCGTGTAGGACGTACTGGGCGTGCAGGAAATACTGGTCATGCCATTTCCATATTTACGAGGCAAGACTGGATGCACGCTGGTGCTCTAGTTAAAATTTTAGAGGAAGCCGATCAATTTGTTCCCGACGAATTGTACGAAATGTCTAAGCGCTATAAAGCCTGGAAAATGAAGAAGCAGGCAGAGGAAGAGGCCTATGGAGGAAGGCGTTCAAGAGGTGGAGGAGGTGGGAGACGACGTTTTTGAGTTCAGATTTTGCTTCGTTTTTGTTACATATTAGTTATATGAATTGTGATATATAACTGTTTTAACATAACCAGTTTTGCATTTTTTCATTTTGTGAAACATCAATATTTATTTAATATCATTTCTGTATAGAAAAGAATAAATTTGTGTTGTTGCAGGAAGATGTCTGGAAATTCGCATTATAATTCTTGAACTTTAATAAAAACATGTTAAGTTTACAAAAGGCTTTTATTTTTGTTTAAAAAATTGTTATGTTATATAATTTTTAGTAAATTTAAATTTGATATTTTAATCAGACATTGAAAGGTAATAAGGCTTAAATTAATTTCACAGCCTAATTTATGAATTTTGTAACATTGAATATTGTTCAAAAGAGAAAAAAAACTATTCTCTGATTATATTTCATTTCTGCAAAAAATAATTCAAGTAATGCTCATAATAATATATTGTGATATGGGAAAATGGTAGTTAAATAAAGCTCTTTTTAGAAAAAAAACTAATGTATTAAATTCCTTTTAATGAAACTTTTGATATAATTTATATATTTTGGTGCTGTATAAATTAAATATTTGTCCAAAAATAGGTGTTTTTTAATATAACTCAGCGTTAAATACTGGGTCCATCTGATACTACCCAAATACAATAAATCTTTAGAAGTTCATCTTTAAAAAGAAATTATGCTTTATATTCAGATTTAGTTGTTGTCTCCTATATTATACTGTTAAAAAAAAAATGAACAATTTTTTTTTTTGCAGTAAAAAAGTATCAAAACAAATAAAACCATACCTTATCAAAATCTGATATATAAGTCCAATATATGGGAAAATAAAAATGGCTCCTAAAGAAAGAAATTGGTCACTCGTCCTGCAATGCAGCTGACCAACATAATGCAGAGATGATTGTGCTCTAGAAAAAGTCCGGATTTTTCGCTAATAGCGATTGGGAAATTTTTGGAAATCCACAGTCCAGAAGTTTCATCGATCACGTTTATGTATAAAAATTCTTGTATATTTTATTCAAAAATATTAGACCTAGAATTTATACTTGGCATTTCTTTCATTTGTAAATATTTTTTCTGTTAGAATAATAAATGTGATTAGCGATAAAAAGTAAATTTATACGAAATTATTGATTTAAATTATGCTGCAAATAATTTATTTAGAATTTCATGTTGTGAAATTATCAATGATTTAAATTTATAAAGACGTTAATTTTTTGAAATGAGTCATTTAGGATTTTACTCAAGAAATTTTCAGGATTTTTTAGTTGGGCTCACAATTACCCCTGATTTTGTCAGTTTGAGAAAAAAAATTCTAATTGGTTTTATAATCGCCTCTGACAGGTGCACAACTCTCGCATCATTGTTTCATTTTGTTAACCAGGGACCTTATCAATCTCTAGCGTGACTGGACATACCCTTGCACTAAGGCATTCTTGAGCTTACCAATGGTTGGTGGAGCTGGTCTTCATGCTGCTACTGTACAAGCGTATCTCATACATGTTCCATAGGATTAAGGTCAGGGACAGTGCAGGCCACTCCAATTGTTGTGGGCATTATTTCCATAAAGATGAAATTTTGTTCATTTGCTCCGCAGAAAAGTCTCACTTAGGATGCAAGGATCTCGTTCCTGTACCTCTGACCTGTCAGAGTACCTGTTTCGAACATGTCACTATACTTTTTTCAAAATATTATTTCTGCAAAGTTTTTTTTTTTTGGAGGGGGGAGGGATTTGAATAGATTTAATGAAAGAATAATTGAAAGTCATATTTTTTATGATACCTAATTCGAAGTAGTTTTTGGGCATATTTGTTAAGTTCTAAAACCTGCTAATTTATGTTCTGAAAGACAAATGAAAAAGCAAGGTTTGAAACTATGCTCCATTTCAAGTTTTTTTTTAAAAAAAAGAGACCACTGCAATGTAGAACTTAAGTAATCATCCGCAGCTGCATATATTTTTGTTTTGTTATCAAATTATTCAAATATGCTATTAAAAATTGAACACTTCAGACAGAAATTTAATGCATGCTTTTTTTTTATGATTACATTAAAGAATTATTTTTAATAAAGGGCTATACTTTCAAAGTCTTACTAAAATCCTAGATTTAGTGACATGTTTGAATAAATAAGAGCATTCTTTCTTGAAACGAAACAACTGTATGACGTTCCTAGAGCATTGGATTTGATTGAACCACGAAAAATGGTGTCTTATGCTGACATGCCCTTAACAAATATAATGGGAGTTAAGGAATTATTAATTTGATTCACTGTGGAAGAAAATAGTTTACAAAGAACAATTTTTATTTTTTCGTCCATTTCTTGAAATGCGAATAGAAAGACTTAAATTTGTTATGATTTTTAGTAATTCTTATTAATTGTTAGTTGATTATTCAAAAAGTTTTGTTTTCCTCAGAAGAAGTTTTGTTTTCAGAAAGAAGGCTTTGCAACATCCTTTCGGAGTTGGTGATGTTGATATACGTTCACACTGAAAGCTTTGGATCAATTAGCAAACAGGCTCTCTCCATGAGGATAATAGTTTTTTCGTAACTTGCAACAAAGTATAAATTACTGTATAGTTAAACATGAGTTTTTTAATTTTATACAGGAAGTCAAATTTTGTCATTTATTCAACGCTTTTTGCTTTAAGAATTAGAAACACTTTTTTTTTTCCGTTTTAGCTGCCTTTCTGTTTTAATTACAGCACAGATTTCTGATAGATTTCTTTCTTTTGTAATTATTTTTTAACCTGTATAGTAAGACAGATTATCGGTAACACAGAAAACTGTGATTCTCAAAGTTATATTTCAGAACTGAGAAAAATATTTATGTTTCTCTTCTGCCTTTTTTATTAACTTTTATTTGTGTTTTTATTCTGACAGCACTTTTTTAAGAAGGTTTGCAATAGATATTATTCTTTTACGGTTACTTTTTACTGCAGTGCAAAAAAGTTAATTTGAGATTTTTAGCGTCAAATTTTTTGTTTAAAAATTAAGAATGATTTTTGTTTGGGTTGCTCTCTAGCTTTTCCTATTAACACACTTTTATTTTTAATAGACGTTTTTATTAGAAAACGGCAATAAAGATGGAACTTTTGTACATAATCTGTTTTTAACATAGTGCAGCATTTTTATAAGTGTTCCCGATAGACTATATTTTTTAACGTTTTACGGATGCTTTTTTTTTCAAGAAAATATTATTTGTTCTTTCTTTTGAGAATTAAGAGGATACTTTTTTCTTCAACTTTACAATTTTATTTACTTTTTTTAATAGCTGTTAGTCAGTTTTTTATTTATCTTAAACATAGTTAGTTCACCAGGAGTTGGCACTTGGCTCCACCTTCATCTCGTGGTATCCAATGATGCTATTTTTGGGAGAAGGATGTGAACAATCCTAAACAAGGTTGCTATTTGGCAAACATATGACAAAAATATTTGTTTCACAATTTTTATGTGCATTTTATTTTATAAATTTGATATTTCTCTCTTTTAAGTGAATAGTTTGTACTTTTTTAAAAAATTGCTGGAAAAAGAGCAAATTTCAAATGTATTTGATTAGCTAGAGTAACAAAAGGTATAGTAGCAGATGATAAAGTAAAGTAAGTGACTGGAAAAGAATTCATTGTTTGCGTTTAGTGCGCATTGATGGTTGTCTCAATTTCAAGAGCGAAGATGTATCTTATCTTACTCCCGCACTGAAATGAACTCTGCGTCCGAGGAGGTAGAGCCAAGTGCCCAACTCCTGGTGAACGAACTATATTTATAGATCTCTTAATATGTAATATTTCCTAATTATGTTCATTAACATAAATATTTCTATTATAGTAAGTTTCCCCTTTATACCAATAAGATTTGATTATTTTTCAATTTTGGATCGAAGTAATCTGGATCAGTTGATGATGTACTTTAACTATCACTGAAGAGTTTTCAATACAAATAAATTATGCAATAAGTATGAGTATGCATATTACACTTAATTTGTTTTGTAGATAAATAATATATTATAATTTAGCAAAATATTTTTTTTAATCATGTACTTTATTTATTTCAAGTATTTTAGCTCATTTGTTCATCATAATTCTGTTGACAAAAAGTTACTAAGTTAAACTTATAAAAAAATAAGTTAATAATTTCAAAGAACAATTAGGTTTGAATTGATTGGAAATGATAAAATGTGAAAAAACTGACCTGGTGGGTATTAATTTGGGTTTTTTCAAGTGTGTCCAATCTAAAAAAAAAACCACTGGGTTGGGCCTTCCCCTCTGTGAACCCTGCCTTCAACACAATGAAGTAGATCAGAAATTGGGTGAAAACACTACCGAGAGAGTCAGCTAAAGTTTTAAAACATTTATACGGAAAACTTGTTATAGGGATCATTGGCAATAGTACTATAATAGTTTTTTTATTTAGGAATTGCAAGCTATATTTCGTTTCACCTCAAGTTGGTACTGGAGAGAAAGGTAGGTAGACTGGATTGCAGCCATTGTCATGGAAACTGGGTTGCTCTAAGATAGTTGGGGGCATTAGGTGGCAATATTGGCGTTAAAGAAAAAAAAGCACCAATATTTTTTCTCTCCCAAGAATCTTACTAAAATTTTGAGCAAAATATAGAAAAGAGCAAGACTTTTCTAAAGCATTTCTAATAATAATTGATTTGAGATACTAACTGTAAGCTGATTTCTTACTATAATATTTTTTTAAAGCAGGGATGAGATTAGCCAAAAGGCAAAAAAGCTGAATTTCCACGATAGTAAATTTTACGCAAGCGCAACCCTTTAATAATAAATTCCAGACAGTTTAAGGTAATAAATAATGTGCCGACATACAATTGTGTACTAATCTATTATTATATAAATGATTACATTGATACTTAACATTNATTTCGCACCGGGGAGATTTTCTTTCTTGTATATTCTTTAGTTATCAATATGGTAGCTAAAAAAAAAAATATTTATGAAAAAATTTTCAGTAGTTCATAATATAATGCCGTAGATAAAGGGTTTTAAAAGACAGATTTTTTTTTAACTAAATGAAATTAGTTTTAAACGAAATAAAATTATAATTAAAAAAGATAGTTTTTTATTCATTAAAGCTAAGTAAAAAAAATATGCTCATAAATACTTTACTTTAGATACTTATTTTTGTATGCAACCTTTTTTTTTATAAATTTACATGTTTTAATTTATCCAACATTGGCGTTTTGTAGGGGAAGGAAAAATCAACATAGGCAAGAAAGCATTGATCATGAAAAAGATCATACATATGTTTTATAATATTTACTGTTCTTTGTTTTTATAAAAAGTAACATTTTTTTCTGTAAAGTTTTTTTTTATTATAAAAGTAATTTTTCTTTCTAAAGTATATTTGCTTCCGTGAAACAAAAGAACTTAGCTAAAAAATCTCTCTATAAAGGAAGATTGCCTTTTTCTTTTCTCCAGGGGTGATTGTGAGCCGAAGTCAAAATTCCGGAAAATTTCCAGAGTTAAAAAAAAACAAAAACAGTTTAAATTGAAAAATTAGAAAAAAATTTAAACAAGGATTTTTTCTTCCTTTTTCTCAATAGTTCTTAGTTTACTTAATATATAAAAATTTTACACGTACCTATACCATTTACACATACCTATGATGACCTGGAGAAGTAATTAAAATTTACAAATGTGCCTTTCTTTTTTGAGTTTATGAATATAACAACTGCTTACTGACAAAAAATGAATATTAATCATGAATATAAGCTTATAAAGTATCTCTCTGGCACTCCCTTACAAAAAAATAAAATAAACTGTGTTTTTAAGTTCCACCTTTGAAAATTTGATTTCCGAAAACTCCTGTGATGAATGATTTATTTAAACGTCTGGACTTTCGATCTCCGGAGCACAATCAGCCCTGTTTCTCTAAAGAAATTCTCAAGTCTTTAAAAATCTCATATAAAGCTGAATCAATGGCTACAAAAACAAACTAGCAAAAAAAACAAGCTAACATTTAGTAATTAGCAAAAAAATAAACAAAAATTAACAATTAATGCAAAAAAATACAAACTTTTAAAAAAAAAACAACCTAAAAATAAATAAATAACAACTGATAAAATCAATTAATCTGCGAAAGAAACTGAAATAATGCAAAAAAGGTATAGAGACTCGAAAGAGCTGGCTGACCAGTGCAAAAACATAGCCAACTCACCAATATCTCGTCCTCGGAAACTAATTCATCGCCAAACACCTCCCTTGTATATTCGCTTTCCTGAGAAGGTATTTATGAATTAAATATATTTAATCATGAAAAAACTTCTAAAACTTGTTTCAAGATACAGATTTCGTATTGTACAAAATTTATTTATATTTGCATTGACACTTAAACTGTAATTAATTCAGAAATAGCGAATAACTACTTTTCAAAGGCGTAGTATTACATTTCCTACCTTTCCCTGTAGTGCCAACTTGAGGTGAAACGACATATAGACAGCTCTAAAGCTTATTTTTTAAGGAAAAAAATGGATTGTACATATCATCTGCAAGCTAGCTGCTTGTTATGCATCAAACTGAAAGTTTTAATGAAAGAAAAGCAAATTTAAGTTATAAACATTTAGTTTTTTATTATTATTATTCATCTTTTCTTTGTCATGCAACAAAAAATTGAAAAATATCTACAAAACAAATAAAAAATTATTATATAAAATGAGACAAGGTAAAAAATCAAATGGAAATCTCAGTAGCTACACTATAAAAATTTTATTTCTGCAAGTAGCTTTCACAATTTTATAACATTAACCTTTATTGCATGACTACTTATCAACAGTTAAATTTTATGTAAGAAAAATTGCAAATATTTTTGAGAATTAACAATTGCTTTGCATGGTCAGTGCCATAACATTTTACAATGAATTTTTCTGTCACAACAGCATGATTCAGGCAAATAGATCACTAGTTCATTTCTGAATAATTACAACAATCAATTTAAATCTAATTTTTAAAAATACGCCTACAAATTCAAACACATTTACTAAAGACCTTATTTAATGACTATTAATATAAAAATGTATATACAATTTATATGTAAAGAACAAGATAAAAATTAAAACACAGCAATCTTACAATAGTAAAGTTAGTAAAGCACAGTCCAGTTATAATATATATATAATTTTTTTCACGGCCTCAAACAGCTGAAATCCACTTTTCACAAAAAAATAGCGAAATGTGGCAGATATGAGAGAAAGAGCACAAACAATACTTTTCTATTAATCTAATAATTTAAATATATTTATGCACAAAAGCTCAATCTTTCAATCAAGATCACAACAATATATCACTCAAAAAACACGAGGGCAGACTCGCTTTAAAAATGCTTTTTATGCAAAATATATTACGCAGCAAATTTATTGCTAGTTTTATGAAATTAATGAACATCACTAGAAGACGCATAATGTTTTCCATTCGTATAAAGTTCATCTTTATCTAACGTGTGCCTCTGCTGGTGGTCGATACCGTTGATTTCGGAGCGAGGCTTCTTGAACAGGTCGGCCCAACATCGAGAAGAGTCAGCCTGTTTCACGTCTTCCTCGCAAGTCGAAGCGGCACATTTATCGTAAAAGTCATCTGTAACTATTCCCGGATCGGGAATATAGTCAGGAGACGAGCTTATGCTCTTACTGTTAGGATAGTCAGAAGAGGAGTTGCAGTCCGTAATGTCCTCTCCCTCTGACATATTTTTGGCAGCAGAGTCTGTAGCCTTCTCTTCGGAAGACTGTTTCTGTTGTTCACAGTTCGACTGGACGTGTGGGACAATCTCACTAGTTTTGGCGAGCAAAGCGGGTTCTGCATTTTCACAAGAACTACTGACTGGGGAGGTGGTGTCCTCCGGTTGAAGGTTGACCGGAAGCACCATTGGAGCAGATGGAGAAGGCAAGTAACTGCTATAGGGGTGGTTAAATACGGGAACATAATACATTGCGGCTGATGGAGCTTGCGGCCCAGTCATCTGGGGGTATGGAAGAGTGTGCAAACCTGGGGGATAACCATGTAAAGGAATTGTCCCACCTGCGACACCAAACGTAGATGGTGGTACAGGTAAAGGCACTAAAGGTGGACGATCACTACTAACAGTTGGAGAAGTCCCATCTAGAGTTACTTCTCGGTAAACATCTGCAACAGTCTCAGATGACGTAGAATAGTCCAATTTCTTTTTGCTACGGCGATTATTATATTGTTTTTCAGTTGGTTTGCTGCTGCTGCTCTTCTGATTTGACTCAGAATCAATATGCCCCATATATTTCTCTTGCGCAACAGTTGCAGGAACTACTGGTACAAACTGCCCATAAGGAGAAGGTAAAGGGCTGGCTTCCCCAGCACTTCCTGGTATTGGACATGCAAAGAATGGCATTCCCATATGATGATAGGCACGTAGATAAGGTATCGTCCTAGACACAATGTAAGGAGGATTTGGATATGGACTTACACTAGTAGGGGGTGCAATGAATGCTTCGACTGTTGGTGGAGGTAGACGTGCAACTGGAGGTGATAAAGGAGATTGTGGGGTTGCAAAATGTAAAGCTGGGCCAACAACAGATCCCAGACATTTGGTACTTTTTACATCTATTTTCTCTAGTGTATCTAAAAAGAGAAAAATATATATATATCAGCAATAGAAAATGGCTAAAAATGATCAGTAAAATATCAAACTAATAAATTTTTCTAAAAACAAATACAGCTTTTTTATTGCACATTTTTAAAAAAAATGATTACCAGTAATCAATTACTTGTCATCCAAATTAGATGTTAACATAATTACCAACTTCATTTAAAATCTGGTACGAATCAATATTATAATCAACTTTTAATTAAAATATTTGAGCAAAATATTAAGTTTTTCAGAAACTGCTCAATGTATTATTTTACTAGGCTCTTGAAACACAAATTTAAACTTATAAATGAGGAAGGTTTTTGTGTGCATACATGGGTATCGCAAGAGTAAATTTTTTGAGGACGAAGACAGTACTCAAAAACCACACACACACAAATCCTCAAAAGGCCACAGTCACAATATTGTTCTAAAAATGTTATTGATAAGGGAAAAAAAATTCTTATATGTGCTAAATACCTGCAAAAAGATACATTATTTTATCTCTTTCTTATTTTTAGCCGAATTAAATTTGACAATAATTCTCAAAATTTTTTTTTTGCCTGCAGAGCTTTCAACATATTTCAGTAAAAAAAAAGGGGGGTGGGGCGTAGGGAAGTTGATCATTTGTTGTTGAATAGATAGACCATTTAGAATTTTATTCAGGAACCACAATAAATCATTTAGTTCTTCTTTATAAAAATATTAAATAATCATTAAACAGAATTTATTTCAATACAAGATCTAACCAAAAAGATATAAATTTTTCAGTAATTTACTTAGTACTTACTTACTTAGTACTTACAGTAATTTACTCAGAAATAAAGTATACATAATTTATTTTTAACTGCTGTGAAATTTCAAAACTGAAGCAAGTTTTAAATTTTACAATAAAAAGATTCACTGAAGAAAAATTAAATTGATCTGTATGCAAGTTTCCCACCTTATTCAAAATTATTCACCTTAACTACTATGGTTCAAAAGAGTAAAAACTACTAAGCAGGAAACTGTAAAAACTACTAAGCAGGAAACTGTATAAACACGCCGGTAAGAAAATGTACTCCTAATTTGAAAATAAAATAAAGAAATATACGTATTAGTAAATACAACTTTTCCTTGCCTAAATATTGAGAAAGAAAAAATTTTAATAATTTATGGAGAAAAAAAAAGAATTAAGACAATTGTCAAAAGTAACTTATTAAATGTAAATGGTGTTTCAATCCACCAATGTAAATGGTGGTTCAATCCAGTTTTTGAAGTTATATGTGACAGAATTTCCTAGTATTACAAAAGCGAACACCTCAAACAGTACTTTTTAAAAATAATATGATTGAGAAGATATTGTTTCCTTCTTTTTCTTTTCATAAAACTTCAAGAATACTGTAAATTCTTAAAAAGCACAAATCAAGTGAAATAATAATAATAAGTCTTTAATACTTTGTAAAATAAGTGATTGGTAATTCAGTGCACACTTTGTGATTTCCCAAAAAATATCCATACAGATTAGGGATGCACAATCTTTTTGGGTGAAGGGCCACTTACTGAGAAGGTAGATTAACAAAGGGTCACACGCATATTTAGTCGTGTTAGCAGCAAATATGATAATTTTTATATAAACCTTAGTGTTCTAAGCACTAAATATTTTCATTAGTAAACTTAATAGAATTTGCAGAAAATTAAAATCTTTTAATTATTTGTATTTATTTAAACCTAAAAAAACTGATAAATTTTTTAAAAATTTTTCACAATAATTAATTTATCAAATATATATATATGTATATATACATGAATATTGGGAGGGGGAATATAAATTCTAACCCAAAAGAAACTTACAGAATGAAAGTGTAAAAAATATATGCATTTTATAGAGTAATATAAATTTGAACTAAATATTTTAATTAAAGAAAATTTACGATGTTTAAACAAAAACCAAATTAAAAGAATTTTTTATTGTGTTTTTATTTAGGAACTTAAAATACAACGAATGATTACGCGCTGATTGATTTGACATTAAATCTTAAAAGTTTGCTTATTTCCGTGATTTCTAAATTTAAAAAATTAATTTCTTCTCTTCATGAGTTTGAAAAATAACATCTTGCTGCGGATTTCAAACTCATCGGTGTCAGAGCCGATATTCATTGCTTCCTTTAAATCTACTTCATAAAATTCGTTAAATAGCGAGATTCAGCATATAGGGGTTCGTTAAACAGGGGTTTGATTGTATTTTCTTACACAGAGACAAGGAAAGTCCTCATTTCTTTTTTTGCGTTGGCAATAAAGAATAATAAATTTTAAAAAAAGCATATGACAAAAAAAAGTAATAATAATAATTTATATATTCTTACCTTCTTTTTCAGGAAGAGATTCATTACAATTTTCTTTTAAAGTAGTTTCCCATGGAAGCTAAATATTAAAAAAATCGTAATTAAAAAACAAAGTTATACAAAAAGATTTAATAAAAACAATCATGCCATTTAACTTTGAAATTAATACCTCCACAGAGCCATTATTTCCAGGGCCTTTAAGTATAGCATGTATTTCTTGAATTTCCTCTTCGCTAGCATTTTCAAAATCATAAAATTCTAAATCCTAAGGAAAAACATAGAAATTAGAATATAAGCAAGTAGTCAATCACAATTTACAAATAAATATAATCCAACTTTGTGTTCTGAATTTCATGTTCATTAATTTCATTAATGTTTAATTGTTAAAATTTCTTTTTATGATAATTTTTAAATACAAAAATAAAAAACACTTGTAAGTGCGAAAGGTATAAAAAATTTTGCGGCATGTGTCAATTGCCTTGTGCAGGAATATGACAGTGATATTTTTACCCCTTTTTCATGAAAAGTGGTGAGAGAAATAATACAAACACTATACTATGTGAGAAACAGTTTCTGCTACGTTAATGGTTGAGAGAAGACGCATTTTTGATGTACAGATTTGGTGGAAAGCGAAGGCAGATATTTTAGATGGCATGTATGGTACATAATAGATAGTGATTTATAGAAAATGAATGAGATCGAACTTACAGAAGAAAAAAATTGCAAATTGGGGGCAAGAGAAAAAATTGTCTGTAAAAAGCAAAAATGATTTCTCAACCCAAGTCATTAAATAAGTAATCATTACTATTTTAGAAATATGAATTTTTTTATTTAATTTTAACTATATAATAAAGAAAAAGCAAAAATATGAGAGATTAGAACCAAAGGAGAATAGAAATTTCAACGTTCTTATTCGAATTCTCAGATCAGACTCTTGTTCTGCAGTGGACTAATCCTAAGGACACAGTTCTCAGTAGAACACCGAAGTCGAGCTGCTATTGATTTCTTCATAGTTATTAAATCCGATATTTTTATCCGATATTATTTAGCATAACTACCAAATATCAAAACAAAACATGCATTTGAGTAATCCCTTTTTGAGGAGTCCGGTTTGCACGATTCCGTCGATTACTACTATGAATTTCATGATTTATAATTATTTTAGTTATTGTGATGATTATTTACAGAATGTGAAGGGAATAATTAGAGTGTTCTCCCTCCAACAAAATTCGAGAATATTACCCATAATAATAGAATAAAATGTTCAATTAAAAAAAAATATTCAGGGTAGCTGCTACATTTCAGATTTTCAACGACTTTCCATGACTAATTCCAAGAATTTTTCATGACTTTACGAAGTTACCATTTTTTCCGACAAAAACACAATAGTAAATTTAAAAAAGCATCTTAGTACCATTAATTGAAATTATAGGTGTAACCAAAACTATTATACCGTGCATCTTTCTATTTAAATTAAGATTTTTAATTTAAAAAATAAAAAAAATAAAGATTTGAAGCAATAAAATATCTGAAAAAATACAAAAGTAATTTTTTTCTTTTTTCCGCAGAATTAAACTTTAAAGATACTTTTCTTGTTCAAGGGAAAGGAAAGAAATATTTCTTATTTTTCTGTTCTCATTTCGGAATAAAAATAATTCGCCAATCACTGACTTGCTTCAGCTAGAAGTTTAAATTGATAAAATAAAAAAATAAATAATAAAAATTCCGAAATCACAAAAGTTCAAAAGATAATTTGCTCTAGAAATGACGTTTTTTTCCCTTCATTTTTTGAAAGAACACAATTTTTAAAGAACATGATAAAAACATTTTATATTTTAATAAAATGCATACCTGCCAACTTTTGATCCCTTCCATTACGATTTTTCCCAGTGGTAGTAAAATGGAATTAAAATTTCAATTGGAAGCAAAAAAATACGTTGTGTTTGAAGAAACATTAGCTGACAACCATGATAGTAACGCATATTAATATATAAGCTTAATTTTTGTAAGAATAGTGGTGATCAAAATCATTTAAAAATTAAATTTATAAANCAATTATGCCAATAGTATCGTAAAGAAAGATTTGAAGCAATAAAATATCTGAAAAAATACAAAAGTAATTTTATTTCTTTTTTCCGCAGAATTAAATTTCAAAGATACTTTTCTTGTTCAAGGGAAAGGAAAGAAATACTTCTGATTTTTCTGTTCTCATTTCGGAATAAAAATAATTCGCCAATCACTGACTTGCTTCAGCTAGAATTTTAAATTGATAAAATAAAAAAGTAAATAATAAAAATTCTGAAATCACAGAAGTTCAAAAGATAATTTGCTCTAGAAATGATGTTTTTTTTCCTTCATTTTTTGAAAGAACACAATTTTTAAAGAACATGATAAAAACATTTTATATTTTAATAAAATATAACTAACTGTGAGTGGGGAGTTTGTTAAAAATTCAGATATTCGAAACACCAAGAAATTGGGGGTGGGGTAAATTCCAGTTCAATAATTAGATTTTTTGGCGACCTAAAATCATGACATTTCATGACAAATTTTGTTCAATACCGAAATTCATGACTTTCCAAGTGCGCGGATAACCTGTATATTATATTTTATTATATATATATATATTTGTAATCACAGCGTTTTTGTTATCTTAAATTAGTGATACATATGTTAGTCAGTATCCTACAGAAATACATTAGTGCTCCAGAGTTTTGTCGCAAATAGCGAGAAAAATTCTGCCACAGGGATTATCAGGTTAATTAAAAAAATTTGGAAACTGTGGCAAGAACAACTAAAAAGAAAAAGATCAACAAAATCATGTGCCAAAAAATGAAAAACCTTGAAAGTTTTATGTCCATTAAATCTATATCAATTTATGTACCACATACATGTCTTATATTTAACATAACTTTTTGATCTAACATTTACAATTAAATTACTTACTAATTCAGAATATTACTCCTTCAGAGTCACAAATTTAAGAAAAAAAACTTTTACATGGATCATGATATTGAATTTTAAAACCGGGTGGATAGGAATCGTAATGTGTAGTTTATAAATCATGTATAGATGCGAAAAATGCAGTTAGATATTACCAACACGAGAATACCAATTTGCATTACTGGATTTTAAAAATTTGTGAATACTAAACGGGGCATTGGATTTCAAACTCTCGTAAATATGGATAGCGATGTTAGGAATTTAAACCACGCAAATATAAATCAGGATATTGAATTTTAAAATAATGTGAATAGGAATTGCGATGTAAAATTTTTTAAATCAAATTAATACTAATTGCAATACATAGCTTTGAAATCAAGTAAATACAAGAATCATAATTTAATATTACCTCGTGGCGACATAGTCATAGGTTACTTGCAGAAAGATTTTTCCTTTAGACAGTAAAAAATTTTGCTTATTTTTTTTGCAGAAATTTTCAAAAGTTTTTATCTTTTATTCAGAATTATATTCCAAAGATGCCTTTCTCGTGCATCGGAGTGGGAAACAAAATGTTTGTGATTCTTCTATTCTCCTTTGAGAATAATGAAAAACAAATAATAAAGCAAAAATTTGGTTTTATTTTCTTCCTATTTTTTCATGCAGATATTACTACTGATTTAAAATCCAATATTTGTAATACGATATTATTTACTACAACTGAATCATGAAATAAAAACATGCATTTAGCAACGCCTTTTTGAAGAATCGGTTTGCAATTTCGCCATTGATCTTTTTTCGGTAGTTACTGCTACGAATTTGTTTTTTAATGATGTGAAAAAGGAATAATTAGTGCGTTATTTTCGTACAAAATGCAAGAATTTAGATCATAATATTAGAATTTAAAAAATATTACATATTCAATTAAAAAATTATTTAATTTGATCTGATTTTTTTTTTTTTGAAGTGAACACTTTTGGCTACTTAAAATTAGTAACATGTATATTTGTTATTTATAAGTATCTTACAGAAAGATATTAGTATTAGAGAGGAATGTCACAGAAAGCCTGAAAAAATTCTGCCACAGGGAATATTAAAATCGCATGAATAAGAATCTCAATATTAGCAAATACTGGTGCAGTTCCAAACATTCAAATTGGCGAAAATCCTCCCAAACAAAAAGAATCAAGTAGGCATAAGAATGCACGTAAATGTTTTGTTAATAGGAATGAACTAACACTTCAAAATTAAAGTTTTTGAAGTAAAACAAGGGTCTCGAGATATGCGGAATTATGCAATAATTGCACAAAAACCATAAGCCCTTCTTCTAGTTTTTAGACCTGGACTAATGAAACGAAAAAACAGGAATTCTGAAGTACCCCTGCTAGGATTACAATCACCCTTGATATAAGGATGTGCTTTTTTGGTTTTGTGATCTTAGTTCTGGTTCATGTTTCTCTCACAAAACAGCCTATCATAACTGCGAACATTGCACAGATCCTATATTTTAATTTATATATTCAGTTTATTATTTTAAAAAAGTCTTTAAGAAATTTGAAAACAAACCAGAAAATAATAGGCTTAGACTAGTAATATTCAATTATCAGTCCTTTGGACCAGTAAATAATGATCTAGTTAGACAAAGGTTATAAATTTAGTCACAGGTTCTTTGACTAAGCAATCCTCCAGGGACTAATGTTTTTTAAATCTCATCATAATACAAGGTTCATGCATACTCTTGTACTACTTCTTTATTTACTACAACTGACAAATAAATTTAGTAAATCCAAAATGTTTATTTTTTCTTTTATAGGGCAAAATAATTTTAAAGAAACTTCTCAACGTACATACGGTAATGAAAATTTAATATTGTTACAATTTTATAAAACAGAACACCTACGAGTATAGTTGCTCTCCTATGTATAAGAATTCAAGAAAATTCACTGAAAATTCAAACACATATTGCAAACAGATCAAGGAAATCAAATATTAATTTGTCTAAGAATTATTTTTTACATTTTTCTATAAGAAACACATAAGATTGAAACAAAAATACATATAATAAAATAAGGTAAGTCACGCATTTAGGTATGTTCAAATATGGTCAAGAAATGTAAGACGAGTTTATTTTGGAGTATACAGCTAAGTATTGTTGTTAAAAGTTTATAAACAGGCAGATCAAAAAGAGATTCTTTTGACTTTACAGAAAATAAATTCACAAGTAATATGTGACAGGAAAGTTAAGATAATAAATATTTTCCAGTGATCACAATCATTAACATCCTAAATTAGGCTTAAAGTGTTTACTTTTACTGAAAACAAGATTTAATTCCATCCAGCTTGCAATAAAGCTCAAGAATTGTAATTTTTGCAATGTTTTTTACTAATAGAAAATATTAATAATCCAATATTGGCACAGACTACATGAAAAATGATTTTCTACATCATCGAACTTTCAGATGTTACAACCAATTTTTAAAACTTTTCTCAAGTCTTGCAACCATTGACATTTCAATGATATTTAATTCCAAACTATAGTAACACAAATGTTCAATCTTATAGATAATTGTGATTAAAATATTTACTTACGAAGGAATTTATGTCCATTTCGAGATCCTTAACGCGGCATGCTCTAGCCGAAAGGGGCCGACATTTTTGACACGGTCATCACATCAGCTCAGCACATACACTTGTACATATAAATAAATTGGTGTTAGTTTTCGTAATAGTGAATAAAATAATTTAAATGATAGTAAAATGCGTTTTGCCAGCAATTTTAAATTTGTATTCATATTTTTTTTCTCAAATGATGCAAGAGAGAGAAATACTTATTTTGTAGTCGTTAATGAAGGAAAAAAAATCAGGTAGCTTTTTTAGTTACTTTTATTCTACAAAGGACATTTATTTTTAATTTATGAATTTTCAAAATTAAATTTTAAATATATAATTAATTATAAATTTGATGCTGTAACAAAAGAAACTGAAACGAAGTGAAAAGCTTTTTGTTTGTTTGGTTTTGGATTGGTCAGAGTTTTTGTTAATTTGCTTCTATTTCTTTCAACTCTAAATTAAATCTCAAACAGGTAATGTTGAATAATTTAAATTATTTATTACAGCATATTTTTTCCAGATTTTACTTGTTATCATTACTTAAGCTAGCTCGTTTAAAATACGCAAAATGTATCCATTGATACATTCATAAGGAATGGGTACTGGAAATTTTCGATCAAAAGTTTTGGTCGAAAAATAGGATTCCTAATTTAAAAGCTTTTAATTGCTTCTCCCCTCTTTCACTTTCGTTGATATTGGTAGTCTGCTACTCGTGACAACAAATAATAGTGTTTTAACTTTTACGAAGATAATAAATTGTATTATTAAATCTAGATTGTCCTAAATATTTTGCTAATTCGAGTAGCTGAAACACGATAGAGTATATTTATTGCTGAACCTGTTCCAAGTACCCAGTGAATATTATTTGACCTCTACTAGATCATGCTGTGATTTGTTTTGCAAATATTATCTTAGTTATATGCGGATATTTCCACATCGTCCTCTGTCACGCCAACTACGTGGATGCAAATGATTTTAAACCTGAAAATTTTAATGGATGGACTTTGTGACCCATGCATATATAGCATGCACCAGTCACTCTCATGTGGATCAGTCAAACTCACAACCTCTCAGCTATACCTGTCAGGCTATTCCATCCTAAAAGATGTACTGTAAATTCGTGAAAAAAGGTTTTGTTGGTGGATGTGGTTGATTTTTTTTAAAAGTCAAAATAGTGGTGTTTGAATTATCGATTTTAGTTTAGAATTAGCTCCCTTATTTGAACTTAGCTATTTATTTATGGTTGCTTTAAATCACCGTATAATTTTTTCCAAAGTTATTTTCGTCTTTAATGTAATATCTGAATCACTTTTTTGCAGCATCCTAAAACATATTTTGCTATTATTAATTTTGCTCACTCAAGTGTTAATTCATAGTGTTAATTTTACTTTTTGCATTTTACCTGAGAAATTGTTTCTAATGTACTTACTACACTTAAATTGAAATAAACCAATCTTAAGACTACTGCATGAATAGTTTAAATGGTATAAGGGTTTTATTTAGAAAGGTGCAAATTTGTGCATATACTAATTTGCTCAAATGACATTGCTAAGTAAACAAGCAAGCCATTGTTTCCAGTATATTTTTTAAGGTTGAATCAAGTGAGACTAGACACAAGTCAATGGAATGAATAATTGAAAATTTTAAAGTTTTTTGTGTATAAAAAGTGCATCTTGTGACGGGTACTTTTGTAAATTTTTTGCATTGCTGTATGAAAGCTATTTGAACATGTTAAATTTTTCGATATAACTTTTTATGCTGAATTGAAATAAAACTGGAATAGATAATACAAATTGTTAAGTACAGTCATACCTCGAGATACGAGTTTAATTCGTTCTGTATCCTTGCTGGTATGTCAATTTGCTCGTATCTCAAAGCAATTTTTCTTATTGAAATTAATTGAAATGCCATTAATCCATTCCAGCCCCAAAAATGCTACCCCCAATTGTTTTTGTTACATGTTTTTGAATAAAAAAAATTTATTTATAAATGACAAATATTGTATAAAAGCATAATAAAAGAGAACGTAAAGCAAAAAAAAAAAAAACTGGTTTTATGAAGTGTACATACATATTTGTATTTTGGTTATTTAAATGCAACTTACACACAACTTAAATGCTACTGTATGCTTAATTTTAGTCACTACTTTTCTCTTCACTGGTCTTTGCTTTTTTAGCCGCATTCAAAAGAGGAAAAAAAACTGTCCAAGGAGGTTTGTTTTTTCCTCCTTTTCAGAATGCTGCAGAAGTGAGTTAGGCAAGTGACTTTAAATAGCTCCGATGTAAGACCAGTTGCAACTTTTTCGGGATGTTTATTTTCCACGAACTGTGAAATTCTCTCCCACATTCCCAAGAACTCTTTTATCTCACTTGTAGAGATAACCTTCTCCACCTCTGGCTCTTCCTCGAAACCAATTTCTTGCAGAACCCCCGAATGCTGCTGTGACTGCAACTCTTCGTGAGAGTGCTCTTCCGCGTGTTCGTTCACGTCTCTCCCACCCATCACCAGATTCATGGATTTTCCCAGAGACACTATCTCCTCCTCCACTGGCACTTCGGGTTCGAATCCCTCGAAGCTACAAACTCAGGAGACCGCACAATTTTCGGCTACAGACTCACTCAGGCCACAGCTTCTTCCATGCAGAGATCAAGGTCCTCGTTGTAACACTCAGCCAGGCCTGATCAATAATTCTGAGGCTTATCACGATGTTAAAGTGGTCCTTCGAGTACTCTCGAAGGGTGTTCTTTGTTACCTCAAAGCAGCGCCAGAGTGCTTAGTGTACAGCTTTTTAAAATTAGAAATCACCTGCTGATAGAGAGTGTTAGATAGAGAACCTTTATAAACATGAACTCTTCGAGGATGTTCAAGGTTCGGTGGGTGAGCAGGAGCATTGTCGAGGATGTGAAGGGCTTGCATGGCCGTTTTTCATATCTCACATGTCGCTCGTATCTCAAAACAAAACTTCGCTCGCTCGACAGCTTGTATCTCAAATAACTCCTATGTTAGGACACTCGTATCTCGAGGTATCACTGTAGTTAGTTATAAGGGTTTTGTGTACAGGAAGTACAATCTTGTGCTTGCACTTATGTACGTATTTCATGTGGCTATACTGAAAAGTATTGTTTCCTATGTATTCTTAATCACTTAATCAAATGAAAACAAACGCAAGTTAAAAGGACTAATATTTCCATGGTTACCACAGGCGACTATTTGCAATTATTTTCAACCTGAGGCAACTTATTTTGCCTGAAAAGGCTAAAAAAGCAACTATTTTTCAGGTAAAGGAGACTATTGGGAGACTTTTCTGTACTCCTAGTGATGTTTTTTTCTTACCATAAATTGGGTTGATAACCTGCGACCCGCGGGAGCTTCTGAACAAAATGAATTTTTATTTCTTGAAAAATAAAAATTTTGACAATTGTGAATTGCAAATTTGAATCGTGACTTTCTAATGCTCTCAATTTGCACAGATTTCGATGTTCGTCTATTTTGTTTCCCGATCGCCTTTTCAACTGTTATTGCGACGAAAGTCTGCATGATTTTAAAAATCTCAATTTTTATTAAACTTTTACGATCCATGAATTTCGAATTTTAATCACTTTGCACAATATATATATATATGCTAAATTAAGTGTGATTCAAATCACGTTATTCAGATCAGTGATTTGAATTAAGTGATTGAAATCACTATTCGTATCAAAGTATTCAAATCAAGTTATTTGGATCAATAATTCGAATCTAACCATTCGGACCAATAAATCGAATCTAACCATTCGGATCAATAATTCAAATTAAGTAATTCAGATCACTGATTTGATTAAGTGATTTGGATCAATGACTCAGATCACTTATTCGCATCATCTAAATCAAATCAAGGGATTCAAACCACTATTCGAAACAGTGATGCTAATTGAATCGAGTAATTTGAATCAAAGATTCAAACATGATTTAACGAATATATTTCAAACCATGTGATTCAAATAAAATAATTCAAAATACTGTTCAGCTTAGCGTCTTTTAACAGTTCACTTATCTAGTACTTTTTTCCCCCTTTACCAAAAATCAATTGAGAGAAGTTATTAAAACATTAGACTTCTTTCAAGTACATAAACTTTCATAAGTATATTCTTAACATATATAAGTATATTCATTTTTTTGTATAATTATATATGTTGCTAAATAATATAAACACTTTTAACTGTGTTAAGTTTTAAGAAACTACAAAGGAAATTCAATAATATTTTTTATTTGTTTTTTATATGCAAATTTATCTAATTCTTTGAATAGTAAATCTTAAATAATGAATGTGCAAGAATCTAAAAGGTTTTACAAGAAATTTGCCATAGGATCACTATGAAACAAGAGTATCTGAAATTTCAGAAACTTATTATTCATTATAATTTAAATTTATTTCGATAAAATCAACTGATTTCAATCACTATTGCAAATCAATCGATTTGAATCATCAAATCAGTTCAGTGATTTGAATCACCGAATCATAACTCAACTCTAGTATGAACTAGTTTTATTGTGTGCTATAAGCAACTTATTTTAGAGTTTATTGTATAACCTTCAATTTGACTTTTTATCCCTACTACTTCATGTAATTAAATGCAAGATCTTTTTTTCAGTGCCCATAAATAATGTTAACAAAGTTGAGCTTCGAGGACAACCTCTACAATTTACTATTGGAGAAAAAGTATGAGACAATTCTTGAGTTCTTGAAAAATCCAGAAAATGAAGAACTCATTAAAAGTAGAGTTTGGAACTTAATAAACAAGATATGTTTAACCGTTAAAACCAACAACATTTTGGAACACGAGTCTGATCTTGTACTCTGCAAGAAGATACTGCTCCACATTGTAGATCATGGTAAACCACGAGAAGTTATTGTGGCCCTCATGGAAGAAGCCGATAGCTTCAAAGAGCATTCGTTTTTCTGTCTCTTGTTAGAACCATTAAAGAAGACACTGAAGAAGGTTCCTAGCAAGCGGGTTAAGACCCTCGAATGGGTTTTGAGTTCTTTAAATGCGCATATTGAATCGCTTCCCCCACCGAACGATTACGACCTTGAAGGGGAGGAGAAGATGCTGTTGGATGCGACACCGGAAGTGGTGGACTCGAATTACGTTTTGTCCAACTACTACAGTTTTGTTGAGTTTTTCATAGATGAGGTCAGTTCCGAGAAAACAAAATCTTCAGCTGATAGAATTGAATTCCAGCGAGAGATACTAAGGAAATATATATTAAAACTGTTTCATCATCCCTTTTTGTATCTAGACTTACATGTGGAAGACGAAAGAAAGTCAAAAAGTACGACACATATTTTATGTGAAAATTATCTGAAGAGCTTGTGCAGAATCTGCCGTAATGTTTTTGATTTATATAAATATGAGCAATCTTCATTTCCTATAAAAAAAATTGCTGCTGAGGAAGACTGCGAAGAACCTGTGTCATTGTTGGCTTTTTCTAATTTATCATATCTAATATTCGTAGAAAAACTTGCCATTGACTCTCAGCCTTTTGTATATAGTCATAAGTACATCTTCATGAATAATTTAAAATATATGAAGCAATTGTTACATGAAACAAACAATTGTGTGTTGTTCAAAGGACTTTTGTTAACTCGCGAACTTTTAAATAGCCTTGAAAGTTTTGAAATCAGCTATAGTTGTGTTGAAATAAATTTATACACAGAATTGTCTAAGCTACTTCTAAATGTTGCCGTTCACTGCCAAGTGAAACACTGTAGACAGATAGCCATTAATAACTTTTTAACTTACATCGAAAAATGTGATTGGAAAGCCAGGTATCACTTAATATTACAGGTGGTGTGCACTGTGGAACATTCCGGTTGTGTTGGACTAGCTATAGATCTCTATAAAAATTATCTGCACACGAATATGAATGATCCTACTTCTTATTTTCTCGGTAAGAACTTAATGCTGTTTATGAAGAAGGTCTTTATTCTGCTAGAGGGTGCAGAAACAGATTTGCTTGAAAATAATGACAGAATAATGTCGACATTAAACTTTCTCCGCTACCTTGTACTAAGGGATGACAGAAGTAAAAATTTCACAGGCATTTGGGACATCATAGACGCTCTTTCAGAGTCGTACTTGAAACCTTTAGCGGAAGCTATTAACTTATCCCGGGCCCATTACAAGGAGACTGCCAAGCAAGCGGGCAAAAAACAAAAGACTGTTGTAACAGTAAACAATACTCTCATGCCCAGTGCTGCGTGGAAAGAAATATATGAAAAAGCACTCTTAAATTTTGATGTTTTGGAAAGTTTACTTTCTAGAATACGAGAGATAATTGAATAATAATTTAAATAAATTTATGCATTTTTATTGTCAGCTTGTGTGTTTTATCCACATAGAGGCAGGGTTTGTTGATTTAAATCAAATGATTTTTTCTTAAAAATTATTGATTTAAATCCAGGGGTCTGTCCAGGCCGAATTTACTACCGTTTAGCGGTACCTTCACAAATTCAACTTCAGGAAAAACGGTAGTTTCACAAATTCAATTTTAAGAAAAACGGTAGTTTCACATAATACTTTTTCTTAAAATTTTATTTTTGTATCCCTTAAGTAACGATAAATCCACATTTTTAGCATATTTTTGTGGTGATTTTAAAATATAACTTTTAATTTTTCACAAATTATGTCTAAATTTTCACAATATAGGTACCTCTCTGAAAAACCTAGACAGACCCCTGAGAACTGCATCATTGAGGTTATATACAAATAATATTTGTATAAAAAATTTTAACACAAAAAAAGTTTTCGTAAATATCACATAACATTAAACAATCTGAAATCAATAAGTGATTTTTAATTTTGAATAAGTATAACCTTCTAAATTTTAACTTTTTCATTATAAGGTAAATTCTCAATTCTGGCAAGATAAATAGCAGTACATGTTTATTTAACATTATTANAGAAACGATAAATCCGTATTTTTACAATGTTTTTGTGTCTTTAAATTTCAATCATGCATTTGTTCCAAAATGATTGCCATGTATTCAGATCTATGTATTATAACGAAAAATTATTTTAGTAAGTTAGAGCTCCTAAAATATTGTTATAATATAGTTTTAATGTTAATTTAATTTTGACTAAACATTTATAAAGTATTTTTAATCATAAATTAAATTTCTTACAGTGTTTTTAAATAAAAATCAAAAAAATATGATTTTTTTTTTTTAAAATTAAAAAAATCAGGAACCCTGCCTAGAGGTTAGATAGTGTTCTGACCACCTACACTTTCTAGGAGAGCTGGTATAGTTCGTTCACCAGCAGTTTGCACTTGGCTCCGCCTTCACCACATGGTATCCGACGATACTATTTCGCTATTTTTGGGAATTATTATATATTTTTTTAAAATGTAAAAGCTAATAAAATTCTTGTATTATTTTAAAACAACTGATAAAGATGTGAATTGTAACATATGTATATAAAAAAAATTGCCCCATATTTCAGTACGGGAGAGTATAAAAACTGAGCCGTATGCAGAGGGTTAACTTCAGTGGTATTTTTAAAGAAACAAACTTTTTCTACAATGTAGCATAGTAATTTATACCCCCTTCAAATTTCTAGTTTGTTTTTAAGAGATTATAAATTAAGTCGTAAGCTTCAAAAATTGACTTTCCCTGCAAAAGGGAACTTTTAAAGCCAATAAAAACTGAAGAGATATTAATAATCTCTTAATATAGAAAAAATGTACAATCTCGTGAAAACCAGGTAGAAATAGGATGGATAATTTTGAGACATAGATGCAAATACCATTGATTAAATTTTAAAAAATAAAATACTTCCAATTTATGTAAAAAAAGATCTTTTTAAGCATATGTTGTATTCTTAAAACAATCTCTAGAATCAGTTAATTCAACTTCTTGATATATGTTTTTCCTTAGAAAAAAAAATAGAAAATAAAAAATAAATTATCACTATGTGAAAACAATGCATTTATTTACAAACATTTTAGAATCATTTCTCAGGTACAAAAAGAAAACACATAAATATAGTAATCATAATAGAGAACAACATTCATTATAAACAACTAACTTATAACAAAGAAATGTCTCGCTCATGAATTCTCTCAGCATATCTTTTGTGTGAAAACTTATTTCTAAAATAAATATAATTTGACTGAAAATTTATGAACTGTTGAGTCAATTCAATGCTAAATTGCATTCTTTGAATATTTCAAGTAATAAGGAATTTGGAACATGTTTCTAAACTCGAGGATTAAAAATACAGTAAAAGCCGGGCTATCTGGCATAAATCTAACCAGAAAGTTCACGTCGTTTACAGTTATCAGTTAATGGTCAGATTTAAAATAACAAGAGATAAATAAAGAAGAGATAATTTGTTATCTCATCAACTATACTTTCAACTGAAAATTTATGAACTGTTGGGTCAATTAAATTCTAAATTGCATTCTTTGAATATTTCAAGTAATAATGAATTTGGAACATGTTTATAAGTGATTAAAAATATTGTAAAAGCCAGGCTATCTGGCATAAAGCTTATGTAACTTACAGTTAACATTTAATGATCAAATTTAAAACAAGAAAAGATAATTTATTATCTCATCAGCTATTCTTTTGACTAAAAATTTACAAACTGTTGGATGAATTAAATTCTAAATTGCATTCTTTGAATATTTCATGTAATAATGAATTTGGAACATGTTTATAAACTCAATGATTAAAAATACAGTATCATCTCCTAAACTATATATTTTAAAATAGCAGCTCTATATTTAACTGACCTCTGAACTATTTAAGTAGGTCTATGTAAAATAACTAACATCTTGATATGTTAATAGTTTTAACAAACCAAAAAGAAATTCTCTCATCTTTGCATATGATAATCAGAAAAAATATTTAAACAACAAAACGATAAATAGTCAAATAAATTAGTAACTTTCTTAGTGCACAAACAATTATGTATAATAAGCTGTCAAGACTACTTTGTTAAATGGAAACATTGAATTTCAGCAATATTTTTATTGGTAACAGATATATAGATTTAAAATGCTAATATCTAAAACGAGAACCGATTCGAGGAAATTGACTTCAATAGAAATTATAAACATACAGTTAAACCTGTTTATCTCAAACCTCTTTATCTCATAATTTCTTACATTTACTATTTAAAATCAATGTATTTTCCGTGTCTATCTCTAATTTTTTTTCAAAACCTCTGTTTCTCGAATTTCAAATAGTCGAGCGAGCACAAGTGCCCAAACAGCATAACAGACAAAGAAGGTTAGACGTCAAAAATCTTAAAAAGATTAGTTTTAGTAAAGGTATGTTAAAAAAATTTTTATGCAAATACATATATGTGGGACACCCGGTGGCTGAGTGGTAGCGCTTCGCGCTGCCATGCCACAGGTCCTGAGTTCGATCCTCGGGCCAGGCAAGGTAGACTCAGCCTTTCATCCCTTCAGTTGATAAATGAGTACCAAGCATGCTTGAGAACTAAACACTGGGGGTTTGGCGTTCGGCTAACCACCTAACCGGAACATCTGCTCCTGCATCCCAGAGCCCAAGGTCAAGAAAACTCAGATGGGCACAGTAGGCCTAGGCCCTCTATGGGCTGTCACGCAACTGAGTTTAGTTTTAGTTTAGATATATGTGGTATAATTAATTTACAGAAATGCTCGTATTTTTCTACTAAAAACAATTAAAGCACTTTTAATTAAATTGAATTTTTTAACGATTCGAGATAAACAGGTCTGACTGTATTTAAATATTTGTCATAGATGAAATTTATGTATAATCAAACAATAAAATAAAACTAAATATAACAATCCAAATATTAAATTTAAAATATATATGTCTGTGTTTGTAAAGTTGTTTGTAAACAAATTGCATTTGCTTTTAAATCGAAAGTTTAATTTTAAAAAGTTAGTGAAATACATAAGGTCTAGTGTGTTACAAAAAAATTCTCAAATAGCTTCCAAAATCAAGGAAGCTAAATTTTTATTTGTTTCAAACAAGACGCACAACAAGTTGTCAATCAGATGTCCAGAAGGTAATTTTCCTTTCGTATTCTGCTTTAGGAAAACTCTATATTAAAATTAAGTGATGATTACTGTGATAATTGTTTTATTTTTATTTTAGAAAATGTATAATTGTTATTTATAATTCTATGGAAGAAAAAGAAAATTTTAAAAACCACTGCAGCTTATGCATGCCTTATAAAATGGTATAAATATTACTTAAGGTAATATAGATTTTTGGTACGTCTACTTTCACAGTTTTTTTCTTTCCTTTAAATAGCAGTAAGTGATAAGTTTAATTTTCTCTTTAATTTGGTAGTATTGTTTTTGTTTTTAAACTATGTGATTAGAGTGTTGTTTTTTTTTAATCTATTATTTCACAGTAGAAAATTATGTTTATATATTTTTTTTTTTTTAAATATTACTATTTCCAACAAATGTGAAAAATAAAAATAGTGTTTTTATAGATAATTCTTTTAAATGTATTATATATAGATCTTTTAAATGATAGATAGATTAAATGATATATAGATTTTTATAGATAATTCTTTTAAATTCTTTCCCATTTACTTTGTGCATAAAAAAAAAGGATGCAGTTGTTGCATGCACATGTTTCCCAATTAAGATCTCTATTTTATATTTTTTCTCAATAGTAATAATTAATGAATAATTTTAATTTTTTCTTTTTGTATGTGTTTTTTTTTTCAGCAATGAAAAAAACATTTTTTATATTTTTTATGGACAATTCAACTAATAAAGTATCAGCATCAAAATGCTATAACTTCTCTCACGTGAAAAAAAAAATTAAATACCTGCCTCTTTGAAAGTAGCATTACAAAGATGTAATTCTCATCATTATAGTTTATAATGATACTAAAAATATGACAATGTTTAAAAAGAGATTTTAAATACAAGATGGCCCAAAATTTTTTCTCAAATAAAAATAAAATTTAAAAACTTTATTTGATCGTCTAGCTTTATCAAGAAGTTATGAACTAAATAGATCAAACAACTGGTAACTCTGTTTTCATACATTGGACACCTTTTTATTGAGTAAATATAATAAAATCAGACAAAATACTAAGTTATAATTTTGATTTTTTTTCTTTTAAGTATAATTTTAGAACAAATAATCCTAATTTAAGCACTGCCAGGTTAAATGCCCTGTTCTGTGTGTATCCCTACTAATAAAAATTCCCATCATACATGATTAATTCACAAGAAAAACAAGTAATATATAAAAAAAAAATATTTAAAGTCAATTCCTATGTAGGTCAACAAAGAAAATTTTTATTTTAGTTACTTTTTATTAAATAATTAAAAAAATGTCTCCCATATAAAACTAAAATTAATGAATTAATATTTGAAAACACTGTATTAACATGAAATGTCATCCACTAAAGGTTTAAAAAAATGTATTTAAATTTATGAGTAAAGAGCATTTTATTAATGATTGAAAATTTTAACAAGATATCGAGAGAGTGTGAACTAATAGTAGGAATTGAATGAAAGAGAGCATCTGACTGCAAATCAAATGCAATCGAGACTTTCAGTGGAGCTTTCAGAGTGCGATCAGTAAATAGCAAAATCTGTTATTGAGTATAAAAGTTAGATTATAGAATTCCTCTGATTATTTGTGCCATCTTGTATTCCTTGGACCCAATATACTAAAATCAAATGTGTTACCAAGGCTAATCTAATATCACAGTTATTTTTGGAACAAACGTAATATACTTTGAACTTTTAAAAAAAAATAATTAATTACTGATAACAAAGATAGCGGAGTAACAGTCAGTCATTTGGTGGAGAAGTATAAATACGACTTTTTAATGACCTTTCAACTAAAGTTTGTGGAAACACTTAACAGGTGTTGTTGTTTTGATTACTAGTCTGCAGCATTAGGTGAGAAGCCTTCCTCTTTAATACTCATGTCTAAAGCTGCCTCAACATCTCCGCTCGCCTGGACTCCATTTGGAGTGCCATTCTCGCGTGTCAACAGAGCCCTTTGCTTGCAATGACGCAGTTCATTCGGATGCCTTAAAAATCTGAAACAGGTACAAATCAATTATCAAATAAAAATACAAATTCATATGAACAGCTTGCAGCATAAAATGACTATTCCAATCGATATTATCCAATAAATAATTAAACACGGCAGTAGTTAAATAAAAAAATACTAATAAAGGGCTTAGAAACAATACAGTTGCAAGTAACATTTTGTACAAATGAATAATAAAAACTTAATACTTGAACAACAACAGAAAAAAAAAAAATTTTATTTATTAAACTGAACATTTTTACAATGCCTAAACTACGCTGCTGTTAAAATTGGTAATTTTTTACCATATTTACCACCAATGGTAACAAAAACTTAATCTTACAGTTAATTTTACCAAAAAATCATCACCAAAGCATTTTGGTAAAAATTACCACAACTTTTTTGCGTTCCCATAGAGCACGAAACACTGTAAATTTTACTGGTAGTTTAGGCCATACGTTTTTTGTCAGTCTACATTCTTTGTTTTATACTCCATAAAAATAAAATTGTTTCCTTTTTTGCCCACTTAAAAAATGTAGTTTTAAAAAACTTTAATTTTTTTTAAATGTATATGTAACTTTAATTTTAACGGTAAAGTTAATAACAGAATTATAATGTCTGAGTAATTTTATTATCAACTAATGTTTATAAACACTGTAAGTTTGAAGCACACATTGAATATGGCTTTAAAAAATTAGATTAATCTTACGTATTCTACTATTTTTATTCACTTTGTTTAACACACATAGATATGACAATGGAATCAACATTACGAACCAGGAGGTTTCAAGTGCTGAAAAAATAATCTCCAGACATCAAAATGCTAACTTGCTCATTGCTTAATTCCCCATGTTTTGTTCACAATTTGATATTTCTGCATTTGAACTTTCATGGTTCACTTTTTTTTATGCATTCAGTGTAGGCGAAAGAATGATTACCTGTAACAATGCCTCTCTCCCGGTTCCTTTTGGAGAATTCTAACCCTGTAGTAGTATCGTAAAGCACGAGACATTTTGTCGAAGTTCATGTTTAAGTGATTCTTCTGTTTTCCCCACAGAGCTGCCAAACGATGAGGATCAGTGATCTTAAATATTCCCCGAGACTTGTCCTTCCAGATGATACAACAATTGTATCTTTGTTGAGAGTCGTTCAGCAATTGCTGAAGAAAGTCCCACAAAAGTCGAACATCTGTTAAGAGAAAAGATTATCTTAGCAATGGGTTTTTCTGTAAAGAAAAATAATTACTTTGTAGAACATACAAAGTTTTTCATGACAACTCCTCTCAATTGAAGGTCAGAAATTAATATTTAAGTGAGGAAAAAGAAGAAGCAAAAACACTATCAAAATCTGTCCAATCACGACTGAGGAACACCAAAACCTGTCTGATTGCAGGCAGAAGCAGAAAGGAATCAAGAGGCGCAGTTATTAGGAACACCTTAAAGTTTTACTCTGCAATCCAATACAAGAAGAAACAAGTTTTAGTATGTTTTTAAAAGAAGCCTTAGAAGTTTTATTTTTCACTTTTTTTAATTAGAAGAAAAATGATCTGCAGATACCGTGATAATTCTCTTATGACTATCAAGGTGTAAATTCATCACCTCTTTACTAGTGTGGGAGTGCTTCTCGGTCTTTTGTGACCTCTCTACTCATAACAAGGTATACCTACATTAGGCACCTGGACATATGAGCATTCTTGGATATGAACTAGCTGATGAAGAAGCACAGGCTGGCTCTAGTGGGATTTTCTGGGGCCCTGAGCCAGCTTTGGGAATTTCTCCCACATCATTCAGGGCATCTATATCCAAGTTCTATGGCAAAATGCCCATGAGCAATGGCGCAATTCGCATGGTCAGAGACAAGCTAAGTAGCTGACTGTCCTAATTTACATCAAAAAGATCTTGTTATGCTACAGTTTCAGGAAGATCATTGGTCTTCGCACTGAACACTGCACCCTCAGGAGACACACCTATACATAATGGGTGTTGAATCTATAATCCTCTTTGTAGAGGCTGTCATCTTGAAGAGGAGACTTCACGACATATACTCTGTAATTGTGAGGTCTATTCTGCTCAAAGATTTTAGCATTTAGGGCAACATTGCATTTAGTCCTGGGAATCGCGAGATATTCTTGTTAGGTGTTTGCTGAACTTCATTTAAGCCATAAGGTTTTCTTGTTAATCATGATTTAGGGTTTATTTTATAACCGTCGTTGAACAGCCGACCCAATTTTTGGATTTACGACTACTAATGTTCAACGCCGTAGCCTTGTAATTTTGAACCCAATCCAGAAAACAAGGGAACTCCTGGATCAAGTATCGGGCAAAATTTGCCTTCGTAAAGGACTTTTTGACGGAACTAACCCGCATTTGCGTTACATGGAGAGGAAGACCACGAGAACCTCCCACGGTTAGCCTGACGGCAAGGGGACTCTAACCCATGATCCGTCTACCACTGAGTATATGTCACGTCAGCACTGTGGTCGGTGCAAGCAGGATGCGGAATTCGTATCTACCAGTCATAGCTGGTATTCGAACCCGGTTCACCTCATTAGGATAGCGAACGCTCTATCCCCTGAACCACAGCGGCTAATGATTTGGGGTTTGGGTACAATAGACCTCTGGTCGATGTGAGCTGCCCAACCTCTAAGTCTACCGTGATAATTGCCCACTGCCGTCCGGAAGGGTTTCTGCTATCAGATATATATCTAAATTAAGCTTTTGAAACCAAAAACAAAAAGAAATTCTATCTCTTGTAAATAAAAAATTTATTTAAACTCCTCACAATTTGTTAAAAGCATTTTTAGATTGACCCTCACATGCTCTAATTATGTTAGAAAATAAAAAATGTTAAATTACAAAGCAGGCAACAACAAAAAAAGAAAGACAGAATCCTCCCACAGAAAGACAGAATCTTCACTGAATGTTGGAAAAAATTAGCAATAAATCAATCGCCGTGTAAAGCGATATCTTTAAAAAATAAAAAAAAAATTTATGTGAAATGAAGCAATTCTATAATAGCGATTATCCAATAAGCAATTAATTAGTAGTATTATTAAAAAAGCAAAACAGGCAACTAAGCTAAGTTAAAACTTATCAACATTGATAACAAATAAAAAAAGAAGAAGAAATGTGCTTGCACTCATCAGTAATTTTCCTTTACAATACTTTATTACACTTCAATTAAAGATGACGATGAGCATTACTAATGTATTAAAGAAATTATGTTGATTTAAATAAGAAAACACAATGAAACAGCAAAGTTTATTGCAATGAAAATTCATTTTATGAAGCAGTTAATAAGAGCTGAATGATAACCATAAGTAAGCAATGAATAAAAAAATAATATTTACTGATTTTTTCACCACAGTTTCCATTGTTTCTATCATTGAACAGGGTTGTTGGGTGAGATTGCACTGGAGTAACTACAGAGGGATGTTTTGAGTTCAATAAAACCGCATCTACAAAAATAATAATTTTTTTATGCATCCAAAATAAAGAGAGACTTTACTTTTAATCATAGTATTATTATTGTAATTATAACCGTCATTGAACAGCCGACCCAAATTTGGGTTTATAACTTCGAATGTTCAAATCTGTAGCCTCGTAATTTTGAACCAATCCAGAAGACAAGGAAACTCCTTGATCAGTACCCTCAAAGGTATGATTTATTATGGGAACATGGAGGAAATCGTGACTCGACAGAGTTAACGTACATCAGTCACCATTTACTACAAGGGGAGTCTTTGGCCCACGACCTCTTGAACATGAACCCAGTGTCCTACCAATCAAGCTATTTTTATAACCGTCGTTGAACAGCTGACCCAATTTTACGTTTATGACTTCTATTGTTCAAATCTATAGCCTTGTAATTTTGAACAAATCCACAAAACAAGGAATCTCCTGCAGTACTCTCAGAGGTATGATTTATTATGGCAACATGGAGGACTTTCTGACTCGACATATTTAACGTGTATCAGTCACCATTTACTATAAGGGGAGTCTGCGGCCCACGACCTCTTGGACATGAGCCCAGAGCCCTACCAACCATTATTTTGTTGGAAAAAAACTTAAAAACGAATGATTTTCAATAAAATTTTATTTTATAGTTTCTCTCCCGTGGCTTGGCTCATTTCAGGGTCTTTTGTCCGATATTCAGATGTAAATTTCTTCCTCGGGAAATTGTTTGGGTGGTCATTTTCTTAAAAATTGTTAATAAGAAACCACAGAGAAGCACAACTTTCGACTTCAAATTAGCTCACCAGAATAACCATATTTTTTGGTCATTCTGTTATAAGAGTTGCTTGTTCACAGTACTAAAAATACTTTTCGAGCCACCTAGGCCCTTTTTTTGGTAAGTTAAGAAAATATTTATTCATTTTACAATTCTTATTAATGTCAAATGCCATAATTCATGCAAGTATTAATTATTTAGCATTGTGTTATCTATGAAAGTTGAATAGTTAAATTATTTGAGTTTTTCTTTCTTGTAAAGAGGAGTTCTGTTAAAATTTATTGAAAACAATGTCCTCATCATCATCATAGTTGGCCAGACAGCCCAATGTGGGCCAATGCCTTCCTCTGAAAATTTCTCCATAACGACTTCCGATTTATCTTTGATCTCCAATTCTTTTCATTAATTGCAAGAAAATCAGATTCCACCGAATCAGTCCATCTCAAACACGCCCTTCCTCGCTTTCTTGTTCCAGTGAGTCTAAAAAGCAGTATCTTTTTCATTGTATTGTCATCACTCATTTGAATCACGTGGACCATCCAATTCATTCTATTTATTTTTATGTATTTAATAATATCGGGTTGTTAAGAAATCTTGTACAGTTCAAAGTTAAATCTCCTTCTCCAGTTATTGTTTTCATTTACACCACCAAGTATACTCCGTAAAATCTTTCTCTCAAATATTGTGATACAATTTTCCTCCAGTTTTGTCATTGTCCAAGTTTCAGAAGCGTGTGTCAAGACTGGCCTGACAAGAGTTTTGTAAATTAAGAACTTTGTTTTTCTAGAAAGAAACCTAGATGAAAACGATATCACTCGGTTTTTTAATTTTAAACTTTTTTTTTTAATGGAAGGTCAAAGTTATATGCCCAGAAGAAAGTTAAAATTGTCAGCTTCTTCTAATTTTTAATTTGCGTAATATAATTAAAATAACTATAATCCGCTGTAAAATTATTGAGATCTACTTTGCCTTTAGACTTAATGCTGCAAAGAAAACTCACATCAAAAATTTAAATATTAAGAGCAAATGCATAATAGTCTAATGCATATGATCATCATTACAAAGGTCAAGAAGCAAAATGACAGTCATTTTATTATTCTCATCCTATTTTGTATTTATCTGTTGACAAAAACGGAACAATTAACGTCCGCTTGCCTATCTGACCACCTAGCGTTGAGGGTTAAAAGGCATACTTTTCTAATGATTGTTGTACAAGTTGACCAAGTGAAAATGGGCGAAAATTATTTATGTTTCATTAATTAAAAAAAGTTGTTTGCCATCCATTCGAAAGAAAAAATACATTAGTAATTCCCTATTTGAATCAAATTAAGCAGATTTTAATAAGCATTTTGACAAAACTATAAAATTAGACAACAAAAATATACTTCTTCTAACAGTTGACTCAATGCAGTGTTTATTGAACAATCGCCGTTAGTTAATCTAAGAGTGTAGTTCTAAAAAAAGACGTTTTTTAAAATTCGTAATGTTTAGTATATTTTTTAAAGTAAAAATCATACATTTTTTACTAAATTTTAAAGAATTAACGTAATCGTAAAGAAGACAAAAATAAAGTCTTGTCCATTAAGAATATACAGAAATATTAATAACATTTTCTAAAAAATGCTCGATTCGCTCACCAAACTCCAGATCTTCTTACGGAGTTGAGACAGATCTTTTTTTTTTTTTTTGTAACTTTGTCCATTTTTACTGTTATACTTGTATAATTTTATCTGGCATGAAACATAAGTTCATAGATATTCTGAATTACGAATTAGAAGTGTTTGTAAGGTTTGTGTTCCCCTAACAAAATATGTTTTATCTCTATACTAAATCAGAGTGTGTAGCCAAACCTTTCAACAAAAAACAAGCACCTTTTAGGTGCTTTTTAAGCACTCAAAAAATATTTTTAAGCACTATATACACTAACAAAATGCAAAATAAATTTCAGACTTTACATGACCATGATAAAGTAACTGGTTTCTGACAAAGAACTTTTTTCTAGAGCCATTATAAAATGACTGAGAGATTTTTCGGTTCGATATCAGGAGTGGAAACTAAAGCCTGAAATTGAGAAATGCAAAATGCAGCAGAATTGCACATGAGAGTGCAATAATCTGACAGCTCAGTAGACGCACATGCGAACTCGCAAGTATTTCATCAAACATGTAAAATGATTGGCGCTTTTATACGCTACGGTACGACTGTACGTCGAAATACATTGTGTTTGAAAGAATTGTGAAATCGTTTAACAATGTGAAAAGCACGCTTTTGTATAATGAGTGGCGAAAATAGACATGGCAAAGAAAAAGTAATCATTTTCGTAAAGATAAAATTATAAGCACTGTTTAAAAACACCCAATAAAAAAAAGCACTTTTACGGGCTTTTAAAAAATGACAATCAAAAATAAGCACCTTTAAGCGCTTTTTAAAAACGCTACGCATCATGCAGAGACTTAAAACATCAAAAGTAGTTTGGTGTCTGCTAATACTTGAAGGTGTTTCTATTTTCTGCCTTTCCCTGGCTTTAATACTATTCGCAACATTTAATGTAATATTATATTTAGATATTAAAGGTGGTCATTACAAAATACCCTGTTAGAGCAACGGAATGGAGCTTAAAAGAGGATTTTATATTTCGTAAGCTTATCTTTCGTACCTGTTACGCAACCTCTTTCCGGGCTCTTTTCCGAGTCTTCATTGGCTGGAGGGGGACTCATAGCTGTGGTACTGTCAACGTCACTACCATTCATGTGACTAATGGCTACTTGTGCATGTTCACTCTCGTGTATTACATGACCCATGCTATGGAAGTCACTGCTGATAGACCTTGGCCAGGAGCCTGTTCTTGTAGGAAAAGGACCTGTAAAGATAACAGTCAATAGTTTATTTTCAACTATGGGACATCATTCCAATATAGTATTTATTACAGGGTGGCCACAGTCTGAAAACATTTAAAAGGTGGTGGCAAATGTTTCACACAATAATTGTAAATTTCATAACCAGAAAGCATGTAACCTTGCTGTAGCCTTGTGTCCGAATGATTCTTTTTACTGAAAATGTTTGTTCTAAAAACCTTTTTTCAATAAAGCAAAAATATTTCAGTTCCCAACCTTTCATTTTATAAGGATTACAAATTATTTCGTAAAGCTTTTTTAAAAAGCATTGTCACTTAGGCAAAAAGGTCACTTAGGTCTATAGTGACGTTTCAACTGATGTCACACTAGCGATATAGGAACAAATTGCATTGTTCATCACAATTTCGTGACAAGGTGGATTTTAACTGAGCATACAAGACGTTGCGGAAATAAACCTTATAATTGCCTGGATTTAAGATTAATTTCACCTTGAGACTAGCTTTATTAAAGGTTTTTTTCCAAGCTTGAAAACTCTAAGTCAACCTCGATTTAAGGTTTTTATATCGAAGGCTGTTTCCCAAGGTTTTGGGAAAGGGTAATGTGCGTCGAATAGAGCAGATTGTTACAGATCTCGTTTTAAGATTAGATGTTTTACACGTAAACCGCATAACAAACCTTTTTAGGTTTACATTAAAAGGTTTTTGCCGAGTTAAAATAAACCTTATTTCGCTATCTCGGACTATAAGTAACATATGTGTCTTATAACAATGTATAAAAAGGGGAAGAAATAAGAACTTACTTCTCTCTCGAGAAGAGGCATGTTGCAAAAGTGAAGCCGAGACATTGTTCTCTCCTTTTCCTTGTTGCTGATGTTGAAGGAGTAGGACTTGGAGAGCATTGTAAAGGACGTCTCCACACCGAGGTGTTCTTTCAGAGAAGTCTGTCTTCTTCAGCAGACATAAACCACGTCCTTTTTTTTAAATTAAAAACAGTTGAAACAATTATTGTATAGGTATTACTTAAACAGAAACACTATTTGGAGGATCAGAGATCAGAAAGCGTGAAACGTTTTGGACTTTAAATCTTCCAACCTTAAATATTATACTTCAGTTTGATTTTATTTTTGTTATAATACGAATTCCCTTTCAAAAATTTTAACTTAAAAATATTTACCACATATGTGCAAGTATTCTGGTCTTTTTCTTGAATCAGCGGCAAAGGGGAGCTGCTGAGATTATAATCCCTATGTTGTTTAATTTCCGGATTTTTAGCAAAAACCAGACTTTTTTTCTTCATAGATGCTATTACATTGTTAAAAACTTAAACAGCAGAAAACTTATCTTATTTGCTATGTAAAAAGAAAAATAGACGAATTTTCAAAGGTAGAAATTATTTGTTTAGTTGTCATTTTGTCTTATTGGGGAAATAGGAAATAGCATTAGTTTATTCCCCTTGCCATCACACTTGAATTATTAACTTAAAAAAATAAGAAAAGGAGCAAAAAAAAACAATGATAAGTAAGAGACAAAATTATATGGTGTTGGAGAAGGGATGGAGCTTCCTTTTTACTTAAAAAAGAACTTTTCTGTAGTACAAAAAAAAGGAATTCAAAAAATCATTCAGGGGAGCGTGCCCTTCTACGAGATTAATATTAAGTGGTTCAAACTTCTGGCCGCTCTAGTGTCTAAACTATTGGCAACATATCTTTCAAATTCCATGTTTTAAAGATTCCATATTAGTCGAAAAAATAATGGTTTATTCAGAATAAATATCCGTTTGTTCATTTTGTGTCTGAATAAGTAACTCAAAATATCGAGCAAAAAACTCAAAATATTTTCTAGAGAATCCTCCGCGGGAGTTCTATTATTTTTCTATCCACTTTGCGAAAAGTAGTTTTTGGAACAATAATCGAACAAGTACGCTAACATTAGTGTTTCATAGTTATTTCTCTGAATGACTATACAGCAATAATAATAATGATGAGATGAATAATAATATAAAAACAACTTGCCATTCATAAAGAACTGTTCGATGTCCAGAGGGGGTAGAGAGAAGCTGTCCACACACCATTCTAGCCAGGTGAACACATGCTGCCTAGACCAGTGACGAGGATCTTGAGCTGCAAAGTCATAGATAATAAGAAAGCATCTCTTAGATTTTGTCACATTTAACATACTCATTAGAAAACCATTTTACTGTTTTTAACATCATACAAACCTAGAATCTACAAGACCCCTAGCAAACAATTTTTCTTTGGCTCCAGTTGGGCTCGAAATTGGCAAAATATAAGCCCTATATGAACATGACGCATATTGATATGTCTAGATTTTTTAATATTGGTCCTATATAGGGTTAATATCGGCCTTTATGGGATCTATATTGGCTGAATAATGATTATAAAATGTCGGGTGAATCTGACAATTCTATATAGAGCCAACATTCGTGAATATTGAGGGCCCAAGTTGTATAGCTGCTAGCGATGGTTCGAACATGTGCAGTGGGCAAAATAAAGAACACTCTGAATAACTTTTAATCTAATGATCAGATTTTCACGTGCGATCTTAATGGTTCGAGGGCCTCAACATAAATATTGTAATTAATTGATGTAAACGATATTTTAAGTTATGAAATCAAACACGAAATCGTTATTATCTCAGATTAAATATACCTCTTTTTTTTCAGCAGATTTGGATTTAGGACTCTCAAAATATTGGTGATAGCCGCATCTGAAAAATATGGTCCCAATAGTATGGTCAGGAAACCGTTTCAAAGTTTGAACCCCTTAATGTTAATTTCCCTTTTTGCTCATTTCTCCACCCCTCAAGAATTTTTCAGGCGAATTGAATGCTTTTTGTGCACAATTATAGAATTCGTTTATCCAAAGTTATTTACATGCAAAAAATTATCAAAAGCATTGCATGCTTTTGATAATTAAAATTAATAATTTTACTTTTCGAAATAAATTTGGCCATCAAGAACTCCAGTTCTTAATAAAGTTTATCTTTGGATTACAAGAACTCATGAAATAAATCCATTTTTTTGAGAGGTAAGCAAATGTTTGTATTAAACTTAATGCATTTATGATTGTCTGTTACAACTGTTTTATGTTTAATAGTATATATATCAGATTTATTTTCATAGTACATCAGTTCATGATTTTACCGTTCATTGTTTGTGCATGAATTAATTTTTAACGCACAGAGTTTGTTCTTAATTCATACTTATGAAATTAAAGTAATTTTTAAATTTTTAAAACTATAAGACAAAACTTAGAATTTTTATCATTTTTCAATAACTTTGTTCTCATTCATAAATTGGATGTCACGTTTAATTTTATAAAAATTTATGTGTAATTTAATAAACGAATTTATATATAATTTAATAAACAAATTTAAATAAATATAGATAATTTATATATAATTTAATAAACAAATTTAAATAAATATAGATAATTTATATCCTAATACAAAAAATTAACATCAACTTAGATTTTAATTAATTCAAAGAACGAAGAAATATTTTAAAGGCAAAAGTTTCATAAAAATCATCCATATGATTTTATTATACTTAATAATAAAAACTGTAATAAAAAAATATTTTTAAGAATTGGATAATTTGTTAAACTTAATTTACTGTATGAGTGTGTTAAGTGTACTCTATATAATTTTTTAATTTATTTGTTCTTATCAAAATAATACAGGATTTTGAAGTTATTATTTTGTGCTTTAACACTTTCAAAATTTGGTGTTTTTCTCAAATATTTTTTCTGATTTAAAAGTACTAATTTTTTTAAATTTTAATAGTACTGCTGAACGAGGTAGAAAATGAGATTTCTATGTGTTGTCTTTTTTATTTCTTTGTGTAAATTTATGTTAAGTTTTTATGGTTACCAAAATGGACAATGTAATCCAAAAAAATCTAAATATCTCATCTTGTCTGTTTCGTTTTTTAATAAATAATAAAAAAGTAAATATATTAAATAAAATATGCATAAAAATTATTCCGACCAGTTATTATTTCTTCAAAACATGAATACCAGTTTTGTGAATCAATTAAATAATTTTATTTTCCTCTTTAAACACGACAATTTCGATTTTTAAAACCATGCAAGTTAACCGGAACAAGATCAGATCTCTTAATCATGATAAACTTTACTGTAACTAATGTTTAAGATAGTTACTCTAATATTTTGTTTAATGTTGTATCTTTCATAGCAGAAATCCAGATCAATTCAAATTCAGAGAAAAAAAAATTGTTCATTTTTTGTACTTTTGTTCAGCAAAATGTTTTATTATTTTATCTTACATTTCTTTAAAAGTTCGACTTCAATTTAAAATGTTAAACTATCCCAAAAAATTGATCTCATTCGTCATTGTTTTGTCACATAGCATAATATTATACATTTACAAATTTCCTGACATTCTGATCAAAAGTTTTAACAAACAAAATATTAAAAAAAAAAAAAAAAAAGCTGNTAGAACCGATATTGGTTGTAAAGTGACTGTAAAATATCGGGTAAATCAGACACTTCTGTATAGGGCCAATATTGGAAAATAACGGGCCTTTAAACCCTTATTGAGCCAACATTCGTGAATAATGAGGGCCCAAGTTGTATAGCTGCTAGCGATGGTTCGAACATGTGCAGTGCGCAAAATAAAGAACACTCTGAATAACTTTTAATCTAATGATCAGATTTTCACGTGCGATCTTAATGATTCGAGGGCCTCAACATAAATATTGCAATTAATTGATGTAAACGATATTTTAAGTTATGAAATCAAACACGAAATCGTTATTATCTCAGATTAAATATACCTCTTTTTTTTCAGCAGATTTGGATTTAGGACTCTCAAAATATTGGTGATAGCCGCATCTGAAAAATATGGTCCCAATAGTATGGTCAGGAAACCGTTTCAAAGTTTGAACCCCTTAATGTTAATTTCCCTTTTTGCTCATTTCTCCACCCCTCAAGAATTTTTCAGGCGAATTGAATGCTTTTTGTGCACAATTATAGAATTCGTTTATCCAAAGTTATTTACATGCAAAAAATTATCAAAAGCATTGCATGCTTTTGATAATTAAAATTAATAATTTTACTTTTCGAAATAAATTTGGCCATCAAGAACTCCAGTTCTTAATAAAGTTTATCTTTGGATTACAAGAACTCATGAAATAAATCCATTTTTTTGAGAGGAAAGCAAATGTTTGTATTAAACTTAATGCATTTATGATTGTATATTTACGTTCTGTTACAACTGTTTTATGTTTAATAGTATATATATCAGATTTATTTTCATAGTACATCAGTTGATTTTACCGTTCATAATATATATCGTTATAATTTTTTAATTTATTTTGTTTTTATCAAAATAATACAGGATTTTGAAGTTATTATTTTGTGCTAATTAACACTTTCAAAATTTGGTGTTTTTCTCAAATATTTTTTCTGATTTAAAAGTACTAATATTTTAAAATTTTAATAGTACTGCTGAACGAGGTAGAAAATGAGATTTCTATGTGTTGTCTTTTTTATTTCTTTGTGTAAATTTATGTAAAGTTTTTATGGTTACCAAAATGGGCAATGTAATCCAAAAAAATCTAAATATCTCATCTTGTCTGTTTCGTTTTTTAATAAATAATAAAAAGGTAAATATATTAAATAAAATATGCATAAAAATTATTCCGACCATTTATTATTTCTTCAAAACATGAATACCAGTTTTGTGAATCAATTAAATAATTTTATTTTCCTCTTTAAACACAACAATTTCGATTTTTAAAACCATGCAAGTTAACCGGAACAAGATGAGAAATCAACCGGAACAAGATCAGATCTCTTAATCATGATAAACTTAACTGTAACTAATGTTTCAGATAGTTACTCTAATATTTTGTTTAATGTTGTATCTTTCATAGCAGAAATCCAGATCAATTCAAATTCAGAGTAAAAAAAAAAAGTGTTCATTTTTTAAACTTTTGTTCAGCAAAATGTTTTATTACTTTATCTTACATTTCTTTAAAAGTTCGACTGCAATTTAAAATGTTAAACTGTCCCAAAAAATTGATCTTATTCGTGATTGTTTTGTCACATAGGATTACATAACATAATATTATACATTTACAAATTTCCTGACATTCTGATCAAAAGTTTTAACAAGCAAAATGTACTTAAAAAAATAAAAAATTTCAAAATAAAACTAAGTATTTAAGTACATATTGGATTTAAGCAACTTTACTTTTACATCGACGTATCTAAAGAAATAAATTCCGCCTATTTTTCAGTTGAGACTTTTGAAAAAGAGGATATACGTGATACAAAGTGAACTGTGATACATGCTACTTCATATATTTTTAATACTTTATACGTTTTAATTTTGATTCATTTTTAATTTTTTCAATTATATAATATACAATATTGTTATAAATTATGTATCAATCAACTGCTTCTCAGGGGCTAAATCTTTTAACAAGTTAAAAATATCAACAAAATTTAAAGTATTTTAATTTAAAAGAATTTTTAAAACAATAACTAGGCAAAAAGCATTGTTTGTACCTAGCAATTCTATAAGTGTGTTTTATAGAAATTAAGGTAAATTTTAGAACAACTTAATCCTACTTAATGAGCTTAATAATTTAGAGTACACCATCCCGACGAAAAAATAAATAAACTGAACCAAAAATACATTTTCGAGAAAAAGTAATCAGTAGCTTTACGAACATAAGGTACGAACATCTGTAGCTTACTATTTAAAATCCTCTTACCCGAATTCGGTGAAATCAAGCACTCGCATAAATTCGACAAAAAATCACATCCAGTGTTATTCTTCTATTTTAAGAAAATGCGTGGCGGAGAAGAGTCTTAATCATTTTGTTAAATACTAGGTAGTGTTTAAATTAATCTTCAGGCATTAATATTTTTAAGAAATATATATATAATTTCATTCGAATAAATATTTAATTATTTGAAATTGGGGATCAACGGGTCAATTGAATCGACTTTGAAATTCATATTCATATTGATATTCAAATTATTCATAGTTACTTATGAGGTGTTTTTTTACGGACTTTTTCTTCAAGTGCTCTTTTTTTTGTCCACAGTCACAAAACTATGGGGTGGGT